GCTTAAAAGGGTCGATTCCGCAGTAGACAGCCACCAAAAGGAACAGAGCCGCCAGTACTCTGCTGGGCTTCATCGTCTCCCACCTCCGGTAGCAGCTAGAGAGAGAAAGAGAGAGAGAGAGAGCTTGTGAGATGCAGGTTCTGGTCGCGTTGGAAGCCTTTATTGCAGATCTCACACACGAAACGGTTCGTTGCGAGGAGAGTCGTTGGCGACAGCGCGATCACCTCCGCTTCGAGGTCCGGCATTCCGGGAAGGTTTCGCTTTTTCTTTTGCGGCGGCTCCGGATGAGTCATGGCTTCGTGAGCGGAGGACGTTGAACTGGCTTCGCCGCCGGAAGCCGTTGAAACCGTCAGTAACGGCGATGAGGAATTATCCAGCTCCCCCATGTTTGCTTCCGAATTTTTAAATCTCTGAGCTCAAAGCCTCTCTGCACAGCCTTCTTGGCATAATCGACGGACAGCATCGGCTTAATGTGGTCGGGCAATTCCTTCACCTTCAACCCCTTGATCTCGTTGTAGAATCTCCTCATCGCCATTTGTGGTGATGCACTCGACAGAGAGTGAATTGGAAAACCCTAACCCTACAAATTGAGGAAGACTTGAGAGAAGAAAGATGGGATTTGAGGAGGGAGACAGAGAGGTAGCCGGTCTTGGGAGCGAGCGAACTGGCGGCGCCTACCTCGCCTCCGGTGACTCGGACGTAGACATCGACGACCTGAGAGGGGTCGAATTTGGGAGGCATGGCTTCTTCGGAGGCGCTCTGGGTTTGGACGAAGCGCCGCTGTGGTTGGCCGTGCGGTCGTACTCGTCGATCATGTTGTCGAAGTCCTCGTTGATGGTGAGGGAGATTAAGGAGTCGAGGTCCTCGCTGGGGAGCTGGTACTTGAGGGTGAAGGGTCGGATCTGGAGATCTGAGAGGGACTCTGTGATTTTTGGTTTAGGGAAGGAGAGGAGGTTGATTTGAGTGATGGGTGGGCTGGAGCAGTTGGGTCGGTTTGAATTTTGGAGCCAGGAGAGGTTGAAACCGGAGACTGACTTGAAACCCTTGGAGACCTGGGCTTGGTCTGTGCTGTTGCAGGTGGATTCTGCTACAACTGCTTATCAAAGCTGCCTCGACCCAACAGCTGGCCCAGTTGGTAATTGCCGAGGAGGGTTGGAGTTGTGTGTTCACTGGGCTCGTTGAGATAGAGCCAAACTTGCTGTCAACCACTCAATGAAGGCTGTTTACATATATATATATATATATATATAAGTATCTTTTTTTTTTTTTTTTTTTTTTTTTTTTTTGAATAGAGAATATATATTTTTTTTTTCTAATACATAGTAACATATGTATTTTTTTTTTGCTTTTCTTTTGTAATAAAATTGACTTTCTTTAATCAAACATTTATTTATTTATTTTGATGTGACTGTACTTGAAGTTTTGAAGTTTCAAGTTGCCTACGTACTCTTCCAGAGAAGAGATCAAGTCGTAACGTAGTTCAAATGAGTGATGGTTTTGATGATGATTTTGATGGTGATTTTGATGGTGATTTTGCCGTACACAGTTTATGCTCTTGCGGGCCAGGAGCGTTTGTTGTCGCCTTTTATGCTCGTGTCGACAAGGAGCTTTGGTTGTCGCCTTTTAGGCTCGTGCGAACGAGGAGCTTTTGTGAATTTGTCAAATGATCTTAGAGGGGCATTCCTTGCAATCTTCATAGCAAGGAGTCTTGACTGAGTGATTGAAGAAGTCTTTGGGGAAGAAATCGCGCATTGTGATGGCAACGGACGATCTTTGTGTCATAACTTCATCATCCTCAACACTTTTATGTAGCTTTGAAGGTTGACGGTAGCTGCTTTGCCCCCTTTCCGATTGGTGAACTTGTGGAGGAGACCTATGTTTCTTGTGCATTTTCTTTGGAGTGACATAAGTCCATCCTTCAACTTCACTTGACTTGACTGACATGGTTTTGGAGCATGCCCCCAGCGGTTGAGGTGAAGATTTTGAGTTCAAAGAGCCAGAAGTGACGGTGGTATAGTTTGACTTCACCACATCATTAAGATCTAGCTCGATGATCCCTTTCTGAGCCAACTTCATGATGAGATCTTTTAGCACAAAGCACTTTTCCGTCGGATGACTAATGAAGCGGTGGAATTTGCAGTACCTTGGACTGTCAGTACGGTTTATATCTTCTGGCCGTTTGCACTCAGGTAGGTCGATCACCTTTTTGTCAAGCAAGTCTTTCAACATGGCAACCACGTCAGAGTCGGGGAATGGATAAGTCTTCTCCTCAAGCTCCTTCAAAGTGCGTCTACGTATCTCTTGATCACGAAAAGCTTCGGTTTGAATCGCCTTGCTTCGTGTAGGGATTTTGACTGGAGTCGTGTTGACCGTCATTGCTTCCTTGGTGGGTTTCCACGTAGCCTTATCCACCTTTAGCCCCAAAACTTTGTCATTCTTGTAGTCGGCGATCTGTTCTTTCTTCCCATGACGGGTGATGCTTAACTCCATATCATGGGCGCGGGTGGCTAACTCCTCAAATGTTCGTGGTTTGATGCCTTGAAGGATGTAGTGTAGTCCCCACTGCATGCCTTGAACGCACATCTCAATGGCAGAGGTTTCAGAAAGCCGATCTTTGCAATCCAGACTTAAAGAACGCCATCTATTTATGTAGTTGACGACAGGTTCATCTTTCCATTGTTTCGTGCTGGTCAGCTCTAGCATGCTTACAGTACGACGAGTGCTGTAGAAACGGTTGAGGAATTCCCTTTCTAGCTGGTCCCAACTGTTGATAGACTCAGGTTCGAGGTCAGTGTACCAGTCAAAAGCGTTACTTTTCAGTGAACGCACGAACTGTTTGACGAGGTAGTCTCCCTCTGTCCCAGCATTGTTGCAAGTTTCAATGAAATGGGCGACATGTTGCTTTGGGTTGCCTTTTCCATCGAACTGCATGAATTTTGGGGGCTGATAACCCCTTGGCATCTTCAAAGCATCAATCTTCTTGGAGTAAGGCTTTGAGTACAGTACGGAGTCATGCGAGCTTCCTTCGTACTGTGTCTTGATAGTGCTTGCAATCATCTCCTGTAGCTCCTGGATAGAGAGAGATCCCATGGATGTCGTTGCTTGGTCTAGCTTCGGCTTCTCTTCGACTTTCTCCACTGGTGGCTCCTCTTCTTCGTCGCCTTCTTTCTTTAATAGGCCAACAATTGGGTCGACTTTCACGTCGGGCAGCGCATCTAGTTGGTTGACAAGTGCGGCAATCTGCAAGTCCTTCTCTTCCACAGTTCGTGTGAGCTTTGCGATTGCTTCATTCATCTGAGCTAGCTGCTCCTCGATTGAAGTTGCTCCCGTGGTCATGACTTGCATGGTTGTACTGCCGCTCGAATCAGCGTCGGAGAGTAGGGACTCTGAGTATTTCCTTGGGCTCTCCCCTTTTGATGCCCTTAGCGAGGCTAGGGTGATCACAGGCTCGTACCTCAGGTGCTCTTGTTCCTTTGACAGAGTTAATGCAGGGGCGGAGGCCGCGGCAAAAAGATCTCTTGCCTTACTTCGGGTTATGATGCCCGAAATATCACCACTTGCGGCGATGATGTTCTTGTTCTTTGCTTTGATTGCAGGAACAGCTTGATCCTTTCTTGATGCCATTTGCGTTTTTCGATGATTTGAGGATAGAGATGAGAGGTAGAGATTGGTCCCACCGGGCGTGCCAAATTTGTAAACACGAGAAATTCCTGAAACAAGCGACAAGAATACGTGTACAAAATAATATTTTGTATTAATGATTTTGGGGTTACAATCTCTTTGTAATTTGGTCCTCTGATTCTATCTTCGTAGGGTGTGGGTTTGTGGATGAGTTATTGATCCAAAGGGCCGTCGGGGCTTGATCTAAGGATGCACAGCTGATGAATGGATCTTCAAGGGGCGTTGGGCTTGATCTTGAAGGTTGATGGATGAACGGATCTTCAAGGGCTTTTGGGCTTAATCTTGAAGGATGAACGGATGTGTGGATTTGTTGAGGTTGTTGATCCAAAGGGGCCGTTGGGGCTTGATCTTAGGATGAACGGATCTTCAAGGGCTTCTGGGCTTAATCTTGAAGGATGAACGGATGTATGGATTTGTTGAGGTTGTTGATCCAAAGGGGCCGTTGGGGCTTGATCTTAGGATGAACGGATGATGAGCGATGAACACTTTCTTCAAGGGCCGTCGGGGCTTGATCTTGAGTTGGTGGAAGTTCTTCAAGGGCGTTGGGGCTTGATCTTGAAGGATGAACGGATGATGAACGGTGAACACTTTCTTCAAGGGGCCGTCGGGGCTTGATCTTGAGTTGGTGGAAGTTCTTCAAGGGCGTTGGGGCTTGATCTTGAATGATGAACGGATGATGAATGAATCTTCAAGGGCCGTTGGGGCTTGATCTTGAAGGTTGAACGGATGATGAACGATGAACGGATGTGTGGATTTGTTGATCCAAAGGGGCCGTTGGGGCTTGATCTTAGGATGAACGGATCTTCAAGGGCTTTTGGGCTTAATCTTGAAGGATGAACGGATGTGTGGATGATGAACACTTTCCTCAAGGGCCGTCGGGGCTTGATCTTGAGTTGGTGGAAGTTCTTCAAGGGCCGTCGGGACTTGATCTTGAAGGTTGGATTTGACGAAGAACGAAGATTGCTTTCTTGATCCTTCGGGATTTGCTTGAGAGCTTTAGAGTTTCAAGGCTTCTTTCTTTCTTCCTTCCTTCTTTTCTTCTTTTCCTTTCTCCTTCTCCTTCCTTCTTCCCCCTCCAAAATGAATGCCTTGGCCTCCTATTTATAGAATTCCAAAACTTGATTTTTGGATTTAAATAATCAGATGAAATAAATCATTTCTGCCAGGTATTGACACGTGTCACACTTGATGACTTTTCCAATTTATTTCGATTTTTCGTTGAATCACACGCTACATGTAAAATTTATGTGACACATGAACGTTGAAATTTTAATTATTGGTCAACATTTATTTCACCGAAATTTTGATGTCTACAGTATTCTCATCAGATTGTCGATAATTTCTCGTTAAAAGAACGTGACAATTTTATGCGTTGCTTTTAAGTGCATCACATTTACCACGTTCAACTGAGAGTAAAAGATTTTAATTGGGGGAGCAACGGGAATCAAGCCATGTTACAATGTCATCAAGAACAGTGAAAATTCTGTCATCGGGCTCCCCTTGAAGAATGCAGTGAAAACCATCCGGATAGAGCTTCAAAGTTTTATCCTTGCCAGATGCCTTCTCGTAAAGCAACCGGCTCACCAAAGGATCCGTCACCTTATCTTCTGCTCCATGAAGAATTAGAACCGGGCCCGAAACCTGCAAATGTGTTCCAACGTCACAAAAGGAAAAGCACTTTGCAGAGCAGCAGAAATGGCAAGTTGGCAACTGACCTTATGCAACTGCGTTTCGATATCACTTGTGGCCTTCAGAAGTTCCACAGCTGTTCTTGATCGCATGTTGTCGTTGTAAGAAATCACATTGTAACCGGCCTACGGAGAGAAATTTAGTATCACAGTTTAATATTGTTACAGCGTTAAATGATGAACCGATTGTCGCAACCATGCGAATAATGTAGCACAAAAGATTAACCTCGAACAACATGTGTACAGAGTCCAATTAAATTGCAAAGTGCACAAGGGACTAACCGTTTTTCTGTTCTTCGGATCTCTGTAGCTTAGCTCGGATGTATCTTTCTGCGGGAAGAGTTTCGCCTCAGGCAAAACTTCAGACATCAGGGCTAATAGCTTCAGTACTATTGCCGGAGGCATCACGTCTTCCGCTATCTTCACAACTCAGAGTCGACGAAGGAATTTTAGTTGGTGATTATAGAATGCAATAGTCTAATATAAAACTACATAGCTAGGAATTATGGTCATAAGCGCCGTTCCTAGAAGCGGTTTCATCAGAAACCCGTAGAAGTTTTGTTCAAAATTCAAGTGGTTCCTGAAAAAAATAAAATTCTTGAAGCGATTCTTGAATGAGCACCTACTAGGTGGTGATCCAGAAAGCGTTTATACGAAACCATAAGCGCTTTCAAGTATTTCTTTTACCCATCCGAAACAGTCCCAAACAGATCAGTTAAAAAACCAAATTACAGAAAAGAAGCTTACTTTGCACATTGGAGCTACAAGGATTACACCATCCCATTTGTCCGGCTCCTTAAGATGAATCTTGAGACTCACGGCTCCTCCCATGGATTCTCCCATTACAAAGAATGGCAGACCTTTCACATCAGATCTTCCTGGAGTGGCAATCAATTCAAAGAAATTAGCAAAGCCTATATTGTGAACAATGTCACTGGAATCTAAATTAAGCAATTTCATACCTTTGACATTAGTAAACTGTTCGATTACATCGCCGACCAATTCATCAAAGTTTGGGATGTAGCCATGTAATCCTTCAGAAAGACCGAAACCCGGATAGTCCACGGCGTATATAGCGTATCCAGATGCAGCAATTCGCTTGGCGATACCTGACAGTCCAAAATTTTGAAGCATGCCATGTGTGGAACTTCTTAGGTTTAAGCAATGCATTGGCAAAATATTTGAACTTGGGGTTACATATAAAACAGGGGAAGGAGCAGAGATGCCAACCTTCAAAGAAAAATGTGCAAGTACTACCATAGCCATGGCAGAAGCATAAAGCACCTTTGATTCGATCACCAGCTTTTGGCAACCAGCTTTTGCAGAAAATCTCCATACCCCTTGAATTCCTTCCATACCACTAAATTGCCCATGTCAAATTCTAACACAGTCATTATTAAAGAATCAATGAAACTAGACAATTTGTTACAGACGTGAGCGTAACAAAATTGGCTAGAGTGAACACGCTCCTCTATCCATCCAAGTTCGAATCCCCCGCTCATAGAGTTTAAATGGTTTAAAGAAAAATATCACTCGCGTAAAATAGATATAAAATAATAACATAAACAGTTTGCTTGTTACCTCCTCTGTTCTGATGCCACCATGATCCATCTAAAAAAAAACCAACAGATTATGAGCGAGTCCATAACTACCATGAAATTGAAACTTGTATTGAATTGAACGAACCTTGAACAGGCAATGATCAAGTTGCTGATGCACGTCGATGAATGCGGACCGGACTCGTCTTCGAGCCGGCGCATGGTCCAGATTCTGCGAAGCTATGGCGCACATCTCTCGACTTAACCCTTCCATTGGCAACCGTTTCCCGGCCGTAACTCTGAAGTGAGTTTTTGGGGTTTTCGGATACGATTTTGATGGGAGGAAAGAGGGTAGGTGCTTTTTTTGTGGATGTTTGCTCGGAGAGCTTGATTTCCGGTGAAACGGAGGAGGGGTTCGTAGTCGGAAAGTCGGAGTAGGTGACAGGATCATGGTTGTAAAGATTGGACTGGCTTTTGGAAAGTCAAGTGGATTCAACGTTTGATGTTCAAAAGTTCTTTGCTTTTTGGTAAACTCAAAGAAAACGTGTAGATTTATAATCGCCTTAATTATTGATTTATCCTCTAAAATTTAATATTTTTTTTTCTAATTTGTCAATTAGTTGACCGGAGACTTGATTATTGGTATGGGAATGGCAGCTATATTTTATATTTGTCTTTCCTTATCTATTTTTCTCACTCACAAACAAGTGATAAGTTACATAGTACCAAGTGATGAATGAAAAAAAATAGATAGGGAAGGGCAAATAAGGAAAGTAGCTAACATACGCCGTATTGGTCTAACTTCCTCAATTTCAATTTGGTAGGTAGTCCAAAGGTCGAAATAGACTTTAGTGAGCAATCAAAGACGATCTTGGCAATACCCGTGGACAAAGGAGCTACTTTCAACAAATCAATATATGGGCGAATCTTCTTTAACCCACATGTAACTCAATTTTGTATTTTGTTTCTCGCTTTGATTTATTCTATTAATTTTGCTCTAATCCTTGAATGAAAGGTATCATGAGACTAAAAAGCATATGAAGTTTTAAAGGAGTTGACGAAAATGTTAAAATCATCTAAATATGTACTGTACTTTCTAGAGATTGAGCATGGAGCCAATGTAAAAACCAAAAAAAATATTGTATAAAATTGTATAACTATAGCGTTTCTCACGTTGATGTGGCATAACATGAGACCACAATACAGAGGAATTTCATATTTTTATGAAAAATGTCCTAAATATTACTTAATCTATCGTCTCAACACAAGTTTTTATCTTGAGAATGAGGATAAAGGAAACATTACTCTAGTTTCATTTACTTAATATCATATTCCTTTTAACAAGGGAAAAATGGAAATTGGAGCTCTATTTCATTAATCTATTGGTGTTGGATACAAGAATTTAAATCTTCAAACTATTTGTGGAGATCACCTTGGGTCCATGCTAGTTTGCCTTTCAGCCTAAATGGGTCAGTATGGGATCCAACTCCAATGACATGGGTCCGTGGCAGCATATTGGGCTGAAAGGCTAAAGCCCAATTTTCCCTCTTATTGGTGTCGTTGACACTTAAAATGTGTTATCGGGCTCATTTGGAAATACATTTAAAATAACTGAAAGTGTTTATAATAAAAGTATTTTAGAACTAATTATTAGAAAAAATACAAGTGAATCTTAAAAAAATATTTGTAATGCCTTCTGCAAAACACACATAAGTGGTGCTTCTTGCAGGAAGCAATTCAAGTGTTTTTGGAACAAAAAAAATATTTTCTCTATAAATATTTTCAATCATTTTAAAAGCACTTATAAACAAGCTATCATGCGCTTCTTATACAAATTTTACGTTGTGTTTGTATAAAACTAAAGTGCACAACTACGTTCTTAGAGAGCCGTTTACAAATCTCTCCTTGTTATCATTTTTTTATGTAATTGTGATTAAAAATCTTAATCGGTCCACAGAAATAGAGGCACTCTACAAACAATTGAAAAGCCGTATTCCATTTGACGTTTTGTGGTTCCATTCAACAGCTCTTGAACTGAAAACCTAGGTTGTCCCCAAATATTTAAATATTAACATTAAACCAAACCCCTCTTCCAAATTTCATAAACTAACCTTAAATTCTTTGTTTGTATTATGTTCATCTTTAAAAAATGATTTAATTATCTAATCTTCTCTTAAAAGAAAAACTAAAAACAACACTTCATCATGATAAGTGAGTCTAGATGACCAACAAATGCAGTGTCATATTAAGCCAAGTGGACAAAAAATAATCTAACCAAGTTTGTTTAATTAAAAAAAACATAATCCATGTCGTTCACCAAAAAAAAAAGTACAAATTGTGTCATTTTTTGTTTTTGTTTCTATAGCTTTTATCATGTAATCTAGTTTATGTGTCTCTTTCATCTTGCATTTGGATTTATTACTTGCATTAATTTAAGGGGTGTGATTAGGAGTTGATGAACATATGTCCAATAAGTGGGTCAAGTCTCACAGTGGGTCAATCATTATAATGTAATTCAAATTCGTCTTGACGAGAATTAAACCTAAGACCTCTCACTTACAAGTGAAAAGGCATACCACAATACTGTAGTACTAAGTGGTGATGAACAAATGTTTTTAGTACTTGTCAACTTGTCCCTCGCAAGACTATTCTATGTATCTTTAATTTTTGTGTATAGTCATCTCGCGTGTGTTATCGATTGTACACAACTATATCTCATGAGGTTACAATATATAAAATTACATCAAGGCTTAATTAGGATAAAATAAATGACATATCAATTTACATTAAGTGCTATAGTTTAGGGATCGTAGAATCCTCATTTGTCATTGACTTTGAATTGGCTTCTTGATTAAGAGTATATGGGAAGAAAGTTGGGGTTTTTATAAAACTGGCTAATTGCCTTCTTATAAGCCTTTATTAAGTTTTTCTCCTCATTGAGGTTGGACTCTTTTACCTTCACATCCTCACACGGCTCTTCATGTGTACTAGATTTTCAAGCCAAACATGCAGACAACACAAATTGGATGCGTGGAACACGTGTGGCAATTGAGATTCACATGTGGCCAAACCATGAAGAAGTTGGAGACCACGATAAAACTAATTGGGGAGTATCACAACTCCTTATAAACCCTTGTTAGGTTTTTCATCATTTTCTGGAATGTGAACACAGAACATTGATCGATCATCTTCAAAGTTTAGGAAGTGGTTACGATCGAACTCCATTTTTTGGTGTCGGACTTTTTACAATGCGCATAGAAGACAAGTATATGAATCGATTTGGTGAATTAGTTTTCAACTTGAAAAAGCATTCAACAGTCAATAATTGGAAAATCGTTGGCCGATCACTGGGATTCTCGTTTCCATTTTCATATCCAGACAAGTAGCTGTGATGTAATTTGATGATGATGGGGTTGGGTGATCTTTTACTAACGGAAGTTCAATGCATGATTAAATTAAAAGCCCAAAAATAATTTTTATAGCTTCTATCATGTAGCCTAGTGTATGTGTCATTGTGTCTCTTTCATCTTGCAGGTAGATTTATTAGTGTATTAATTCAATGGGTGTGATTAAGAGTTGATGAACTGATGTCTTTTAGTAGCAGTCAACTTGTGCCTCGCAAATTACATCACAGCTACTGCTCTGGATATTGATCTTTAATTTTTATGTATAATCCTCTCGTCTGTTATTGGTTGTGTACGACTATATCTAATGAGAAATATATATATATATATATATATATTTCACGTTGATTTCATTCATGTAGAGTTTACAATATATATTTACATCTAGGCTTAATTAAGATATAGTCAATGACATCAATTTAGTTACACTAGTGATCCACGTTGACTTGGCTTCTTGATTAAGAGTATATCTGAACTCGGAAGAAAATTAGGATTACACCATAAAATCAATTAGCTGAGTAGCGATACTCTCAAGTCGTTGTTAGGTTTCTTCTTTAACCGATGTGAGACTCTTTTTACCTTCAAATTCTCACATGCACCCTCACATGTGGTGAATTTTCAAGTCAAATATGTGGCAACACAAATTAAATGACGTAGAGCACGTGTGGTCATTCAGCTTCACAAGTGGCTAAACCTTCTTTAATACCATTAAACAAAGAGGTTCAACCATATAAAATTAATTGACAATATAAAGCATCTCAATTGCTTATAAACCCTTACTAGGTTTCTTTTTTCGATATTATTTTCTGGAATGTGAACACAGAACATTGATCGATCATTTTAGTTTAGGAAGTGATTCCGATCGAACTCCATGTTTATAGTGTCGGACTTTTTACAATGCGAAAAGAAGATAAGTATATGAATCGATCGACTTGGTGAATCAGTTTTCAACTAGAAAAAGCATTCAACAGTCAACAGTTGGAAAATCGTTGGCCGATCACTGGGATTTTTGTTTCTCATTTTCATATCCAGAGAAGTAGCTGTGATGTAATTTTATGATGATGGGGTTGGCTGCTCTTTTACTAATGGAAGTTCAAAGCATGGTTAAATTAGACTTCACACGAGATTAAGGAGTAGTATAGGGTTTAGGGTTACAGACTTACATTACTACTGCTGTGGAGAATGAGATTAATTAGGAGTAGCTAATTATCAAATTACTTAATAAGTAAATCTACTTAAGCTTGATCAGCAAGCGTGCGTACGGTTATTCTTTGAACCGCGCGCAGCATGTGGCCCATTGGCTGCTTGATGAACTGCATGCACGCGCATATTTGGAAACAAAATGAACACAAACCCTATTTAATTAGTATTCAAATAAACCCTAATAAAACGACTGACCAAGCTTAAACCCCACTGCATCGAATCTTATAGGGGCCATAATCCAATCCTAGATGATTCTTTTTCAGCTTATAGTCAAAAGGATATTCAGTAGTTCATATTGTAAATCAACGACAAAGACTGACGCCGATTGAAAGGCCAAAGCCGTTATTTTCAGGATCCCTTCAAGATTAAATTCTTTGCCTTCTTAGATTAAAGTTGCTGTTTGCTGCACCAGCTGGGTCACATTCCTTGCTGTCACAATCGTTCATTCTACCCATCTTTTAGCATCAATGTGGCAACTGTGTTAACATATTTGAAAAACAAGTAAGCGGTTCATTTAACCACATAAATATTTCACTAATTAACTGCACAACACACACGTCAAAAAAAGGCTTCCAGTGGCAGTAGAAGTGAAACCACTCGATCCAAGTCACGTAAAAAATGAAACCGCTTGATACAATTCATATTTAATTTTGTTCAATGTGGAATTGTTGTGTTCTTCAACAGCAACTGGTCAATGTCATCGTTTCTGGGATCCGCTAATTGCAGTTTCATTAGTTGGAAATATTTATACCATGGTTGGTAAAGGGGAGTGCGTTCAGTACAGGTAATGATGCTGATGTTGATTATTTGAGCTTTTAAGACCAGCCTTTCAACACCGGCCGACTCTTAAATTCAAGTTTTACATCGTGGAACACTTTATGCACGATTTGAAAGAATTCCTAATCATCTTTTACAATTTTCTTCATGCACGAGTCATATGTCTTGTCTTTCATCATCGTCGTCGTCGTAGACTTGCTTGTTATTGGTTTTGGCTTTGCAGAATTCAACCCTGGCGCGGCAACACCGACCTCACTCAGTGGACAGGATTTACCGACTCGCAAAATCATCAAAATCTGTTGCATAATAACCAAGAAACTATCCTATAAATTACGACTTCATACTTTCATAGTGCTCCCTTGAACTTGCATATATATTAGCATATTACCGACTTATTTCTATTGTCATTTTAAGAATCTAAGTACTAGTATCGAATTTCTTTATTATATCTTCTTAGCTTTTTTACCAAAATTGTCTATGAAATTAGCATAACTTTTCATTTGGTCTCTGACAATGAAAATTAATAGAAGTGGTCATGAGTTTGTGTTTGTCTACCATAAATCAGTTTTGTCCTTCAGTGAAAAATATGTTAATATCCTTATTAAATTGTCACGTGAACGACCACGTAACCACCTTTTTAGGGATATTTTTGTCAAACCAATCCATCAACTTATCGAGGATATTGATAGATTTTTTACGAAATAACTAAAATGATTTATGATGGACAAACTCATGGACTACTTCTATTAATTTTCATTATTATGACGAAAGTAAGAAGTTATCTTAATCTCAGAAAATAGCTAAAAACCCTACTTTTCCAGTGCTGTTGTGACACACGGTTATTGAATAGTTGTGGAACTAAGATTCTGTTTTCGCTACAAGATAAAATCTCTTCACAACATCCTCCTTGAGAATGAAAGCAACTGCAGCAATTGTAATGTACATAACCCAAATATTTTTTAGATCGAATATCTATTGACAATATACTGATTATCGTCAATTGTATGGCACTCCCGCAACGCTCTGGCACATGAGAAAATTGTAATTCTTTCATAAAATTGCTTCATAAATAATCTAATTATACGAAAAACATGAACTTCTTTCTATTTTTTCAAATAAATCATTGTGGATTGCACTCGTCACATGCAAATACAATTTCTCTTTTATATTTTGCCACAAAAGACAGCATAATTACACTTTCTTTTTTCACCAATAACAACACCTTTTACAAAATACGAGTATTATGTACTATGCCTATAATTAATTAGCAACATAACCCTAATTAGAAACAAGATCAATTGATGAAAACACAACTAGTGTTGCATTACTTGAAAGGATGTTGAAATGCAAAACAAGCAAATTAAAACAGGGACAAACATAAAAACAAGTATGTAACCATGTATTGCAACACAAACTACTTATCAAACATATATGGCCATGTGAGAGAGACTCACAGACGCCAACTCCATAGCCAAAACTGAAGAGCAAGCTACCTAATCCCTCATTTTTGCCAGTTCGCCACCAATGACCAATCGCCACGCTTATCCTTGATCAAAGCCCACGTACGCTTCGTTACCACCCTAAATGCCATGCCATCTATTCTATTCTTATTCCTTCCCTCAACAGACGTCGCATGAACTACTTATTTATCCAAGCAGGGCGTCATCGTCTCGGCATGGCCTCAGCATTTTATAATGTTTCCCGATTGTATATGTGTGCGTGTGTGTGCGCTTGTCCAATTAATCTTGTTTTGCATCCTTAATACGATAATTGTCTAAGATAGATGTAGCTATTATCTATATAAGTATATTGCTAAACAAGATTAATTAAACTCGCCGGCAAACGTATTGCTACCAAACAAATTGTAAGCATGAAACTAAAATAAAACAACTGGATATATACTAGTGTCACAGTGCTATTTGCCAATATATCATACACTTCAAAAATAGTTAGCAACCTATTCAAAATAAAGAGGAAGAGAAAAGAAGACGAAAAGACTGCTGCCGGAGGGTTTCGCCGCCGCTGTCATTAGCTGCATGTCACTGCTTTTTTAGTCCTTTTTTTTTTTTTTTTTTTTTTTTAATGAAGACGATGTAGAATACAACTTACTTGGCAAACACTAAAGGGGTTATATAAATATGCACGCGAGAATATTTGGAGAAGTCCTATTAATTGCTATCTTGCTATACATAAATTGAAGAAAATTCACCACCAATGAACATGGATTTTGAGTACAAATCACTCGTCTCAATTCTCAAACATGAAACATTATGCATCAAGGAAGGTGTTTGATATCCATATATTATATATGTTTCATACCACGATATTGGAATTGAGGAATTGAGGATTTGAGTAAAGTACGTTGCACAATATAATTAGGTATCAAACTTGTCATCCATATACAGCTTCCTCTGTCTCTTACAATTTTTTGCTGTATTTGATATTATTATTTTATAGTTTCAAATCCTTGTCCTGTATTCCCCCACATGCCGTTTTTCTTCCAAAAACTCGTCCTCCATAGCCATAGAAGTCGAACCTGGGGCAACCTGCTTATAAGCATAAAAGAACATTAGTAGACCGTAGTGCCAACGAGGACGTCGATAAAATTATAATAATATAATGAAAATGTATAAATAACTTAACCAATGGAGGATTAAGATTTCGTCATTGATCACATATGTTAGAAAGGGAGGAGTAGAATCTCAATTTTAATAAGAAACCATTTTGGCCAGCAGGTTTTGAACCCCGAATGGCATACAAAGAAAAAGCCTCTCTGTAATGTCGTATTGTGCTTCCAATAACTGGGATTTTAAGGCATAAAGAGGTTTTGGGAGGATGCACCTGATAAAGAAAATTAATGATTACGATTGAAGGACTTAATTAAAATATGAGAGTTAAGCAAGAGACTGAATATGCAAATTCATGCATCATCCAATTTTGTCTCCAACTTAATGGTTGAATCTGTGTTTTTTTAAACTTTATTTGACTTTACAATATGAGTGTATAAATATATATATATATATACATGCCTATACTAGTAACTTGAGTATATTACATGACTTGTGTGTTTGAAAAAGGATTTTGGTTTGAATGGGATGCATGCATGGTAGAACTTGGCAGAAATTAAATTTGATGTGTGCGAAAGAGAGAATCAATAAAGAAGAGGGATGTTTGGTGCTTCTTATAAGAGGAATGTTGAGAAGACACTCTCAAAAGTGGAACTTTATACGGATTGTCTATCGCTTATATTTTTGGCATAATATTTTATAATGTTGACATGAAAATTGATGTTAAGCTGTGAGGTAGCATAGAGTTCCACTTTGAGAGAGTAGACATAGCATCCCTCTTCTTATAATGTTTGTGTTTTTTATTTATTGATTAGTTTGGTGACCTATAGGGTTATCCCACGAAGTCATTAGAGATCGAGTCATCTAAACTACAAGTCACCTACAAATACTCTACTCCCAATTATTTCAGATAACGCTTGCATTAATAATTTTATGTTTTAATGAAGTTACTGGCTGGCGAACCCATCCACCTATTATCTCGTCCCTTGAGTTCCGTTTGTTTTTTAACGTCTCTACCTTCATAATTGGTCTGACCTTGATGGTCCTACGAAGCACAGGATTACTCGATGCTTAATAGGTAAATACCATAATTGCTTCTTCGGGAAAGTAAGTTCACAACCATAGGATTTCTACCTCCACGAGACATTGCTCCATGTATAAGGGCTTTTCGGATTATAAAAAAATCCCGATCTAAGAGTAAATGTTGTATTTTTTATTACATTAAATTAAATTATGAATCTATTCTAATTGTCGAGTTCCGTAACATTTTGATTATTTATTGTCACGTCTATTTCAATCCTACATAGCCATATAACATTATGATTATTTGATACATAAGATGTGTGATTTTGAACTAGTAATAGTGAGGAGAAGGGGGCATAAAATAGAGTTCGGTGAACTAGTTAACAGCATGACACAACTTTTTCCATTTAATTTATTTTTCAATATTTCTAGGGGTATATATATAAACAAGAAAATGAGGCATGAGAGAGGAGAGCCTAAAAAAAACCAGAAAGGCAGAAACAAATAGAGAGAGAGAGCAGAGGTCGGTGCATGAACATAAAACTAGGTTTCGAGCACGACGATACATATAGTAGTCCTGCATTAGCCAACAGCTCCAGGACAAAAACACCACTTCCCCATTCCCATTTCCTTCATTCTCCTCTGTTGTATCGTGTTGGTCTGTTATTTCATTACCACCACCACTTCTTCTCCTCCTCCTCCGCCGCTCATACCAATTGTACTGTACTATCATCCAGCTAGCTAGCCGTCCTCTCCTCCCCACACTCTCTCTGTCCTCTCTCTCTCTCTCTCTCTCTTTTCCGTTTGGACAGTCCGTATATGTGCGCAGCCACCTGATCACATATTCCCAGCTCACCAAAATTACCAGCCTGTCCTTCTCTCTTCCTTCCTAGTTCCTATGACACTTTATCCCTTCCCAACTCACTCCCTCCAGTATTCTAATCTCAATTTCAATACGAATTATATCTCCCACCGTTTCCACTTGCTCCCGCAGCTCCACCACCTCTACAACCACCCCACTCCTCCGCTTCTCCTCCCCCAAAGGCCCCGCCGCTGGGCCCACATGGCCACCAGCCACACTTCCGCGGTCCCACGTCGAAAAGACAAGCTCCTCGTCATCATGGGGGCCACTGGCGCCGGCAAGTCCCGCCTCTCTCTCGACCTCGCCACCCGCTTCCCCTTCTTCGAAATCGTCAACTCCGACAAAATACAACTCTACCGCGGCCTCGACATCACCACCAACAAGCTCCCCCTCCCGGAACGACTCGGCGTTCCCCACCACCTCCTCGGCGAGTTCGACCCCCGAGACGGAGATTTCACGCCCGCCGATTTTCGCGCCGTTGCCGGTCAGGTTGTTTCCGGCATTACAAATCGGAGGAAGGTGCCGATGCTCGTCGGCGGGTCAAACTCCTTCATTCACGCGATGGTCGCGGACCGTTTCGAACCGGGGTGCAATGTCTTCGAACCGGGTTCAGACGCCTCCCTCTCGGCCGAGCTCAGGTACAATTGCTGTTTTCTGTGGGTGGACGTGTCGATGGCTGTGTTGACGGAGTATCTATCGAAGCGAGTCGACGAAATGCTCGACTCGGGAATGTTCGAAGAGTTGGCCGAGTTTTGCGACCCGGATTGCCAGGAAAAGCAAGACCCGGCAGCGGTTCCGACCGGGCTCAGAAAGGCGATTGGAGTGCCCGAGTTCACTGGGTATTTTAAAAAATACCCACAAAGTAAAAGGGATGAGGACGATGATCGGGAGCGGAGAGAAGCATACGAAGAGGCGGTGAGGGCGATCAAGGACAACACGTGTCAGCTGGCGAAGAGGCAGATAGGGAAGATCCTACGTTTGAGAGGGGGAGGGTGGGACCTACGGAGACTAGACGCAACGGACGCGTTTAGGGCGGTGGTTGCGACGACATCGTCGGATAGTGACGGCGGAGAAAGGTGGTCGGATATATGGGAGAGGCAGGTGGTGGGACCAAGCGTGAAGATTGTGAAGCGCTTCTTGGAGGAGTAGGTCTTCCAGCTTTTTCCAGCTATACAAAATTACAAATCCTATTTTCTCTTTCTATTTTTTTTTAATTAATTTTTCCTCCAAATTTTTAGTTCGTTAACAAATTTTGGAGGAAGAATCCCCTGTGCCCCTGCTTCCCAAATCCTGTGTGCACCGGACAAAAATTGGAAAAATCCAAAGGCGGGAGTGGTCCGATGGACTCGGAAGTCGGAGGGCTGAGTTCGGGACCAGAATGCGACAACTTTTGTGTTTGGGAGGGAAATGCAAAAGAGCACAAAATACAGGAAATCGAGAGGGGAAAAAAAAAAGAAAGAGAAACAAAAATTTTGGCAAGTGTGCAAAAGAGTTGTGTGAATTTTGTTCTCTCAATTGTAATTGAGTAGGGACTATTTTAATCACAAATTTAGCGTGTTAGCAACGAGCAAATCATTCACTAAACTCTTCTTAGTTCCTTCCTATCCTAATAGAGTTTTGGTGTCACTTGCATACCGAATCGATACAACATTGGCCTTTCTGGTTTTGTTGATAGCGTTTCAGCAAGTTTGTAAATTTTGTGTTCATATGAATATAACTATGCTAGTTTTACAGTCTAAAGTGCAAAATCTTTTAAGTTTAAGAAATTGCACATTGTACCTATATCTCTCATCACCTAATATTTTGTATGAAAAAAACAAATAACACAACGAGATAAACATCCGTTGCGGTTAAGATTTCTCTCCTATAACGCGCAACACACAGTTCTAAAGAATTCTTTTTCCAATACTTAATTGCTGAAGCTTTAGCGGTTTGAGTTTGCCAAGAAGTAACCCAGATTTAATATTACAAATTGAGGGAATAAATAGTCTGTCAGGTATTTGACCTGCATTATTATTCGTTTCATAATTTATTTATTTTCTAGTTGTTGACGTTACAACTGATTATGCGATCGAAAAAAGGAGGAAAATATAATAAAAGTGTGTTTTTATGCATATGCCAGATTAGCAAGGGAGTTGGAGGTTGGGCAATTTTACTAGATTTTGTTAGATCTTGTCAAATGCCAAAACGAAGAGATAAATTATAAGAAAAAAGAAAGATGTGGTCATATAAAATTGGTCCGTGATCTTATTTCTAGATATACACACTACACACGTTCTTAGTCTCCTCCAAGTTTCTGTGTCTATTTTTTGATGATATATATTATCATAATTGTATGCTCATCAGTTGATATGTTGCGAATTAACAAATCAGAACTCCATTTTAAAAACAATTTAGCGAAAACTTGCATTTTTCTTGACGAACGTCCCACAAAGGCCCATAAGTCCAACGGAAAATATGATATTGATTTGCGTTAGATGAGTTTTTTGTCTAGTTATTCTCATTTTAGACGTTTTTTCAATTTTAAATATGTTTCTTCTTCATCTTCTATGTTTCTTCATATTTCTTAGTAAGCAACGAGAGACGTCGTTTAATATATAGGACTCTGTTAAACTAATGACTATAATATATTAGTATCATACTCAAATTTTTCGGCTCACTATAAAAGTGTGAATGTTAAATAAATTTAGTATATAAGTATCATACCCACTTTTTTCGGTCTACTATGTAAGGACATGGGTTGTGGCTTGTGAATTCGTGAGGGAATTTTGGAAAATGTGTGATTTTAAGTCCCAAGTAGTCTTAATAAGAAAGATAATAATATTAACTCAGAGTTGCTAATACTTTCTCAACAATAGTATCCTCTCCGTAGGACAGGATACGAAGGGAAGGCTAGGATGATGGTTTCTTTCCATTCTCAAGTTCTCAACCAACAATGCAAGTCTTGAAAGTGCTTTTCCTTCAAGTGCTTCTGCTGCATAAAACATAATTGCAGCCATCTGGTTTGGAGAAGGACTTCGGGTCAATGGTAGTTGCAAGATCTAATTGGAATTTGTACCTAGACATGGAAGTCATGACTAGTCAATTTTGTGCCAGCAGAGTTACAAATTTAAGAGCAACACAGGAACATCAATTAAGTTTACCAGTTTCAAATGGAATAATATTTTTCAAATTTCCAAATTATCTGCAATATTGTTAGAAAGCATGAAACCTTGAAACTTTCCGCCCCCCCTCTGCGGGAAGGACTTGCCTACACTTGTCAGGTTACAGATCAATAACACGACGATCGTATACAATGTCAGAAGGCTATGAATCTTCCGAAGCAATTATAGAAGCTTCTGTGATATGATTCGATATGATGTGATATGATGTGATGTGATGTGATGTGATGATGTGAGGTTTCCAGGAGATAATCAATTGGAAGTCGCTATTCCAATTACGCCTTCAAAATGTTTATTTTGAGAATTCTCTAATTATGTTTACTTTAGTTTCGTTTGATATATATATATATATCCGACTTTATACTCATAATAAAACTATTACGATATATTTGTAGTGTAATCTTTTGAGTAGACGCTGTTTCATTTTAGAGTAATTTAAATTATGAAAACACAAAATAGAACTCAAATACATAAAAACACTAATTTTAACTAATGTGATTATGCTCACATATGGTAGTTTGGAGGAAGGATTTATTTAATAAAGGATGGAAATAGGGCTGACAGTGGCATGGGGATTTAACAAGTGAAGTGTAGGGCGTGTCATGGCATGGTATAATGGGACGGTCGGCCAGCAATGGTGCAACACACGAGGGGCAGACATTATTTCGTGGACATAAAAGTTTAAATTATTTGAATAATCAGCGACCACTTAATTATTATTTACTAAATTTTATATTAAGCAGAACAAAAATTAAATATATAGAGGAATTAAAGAGAGACAAGGTTCATATTCTTTGAGACCAATTATTAGTAGAAAGCTTCTGGGGAGAATTAATAATCATCAATTTTAGAGGTTAAGTTCTCTGAACTGGAACAATATTTAGTTAAGATCGATGCAACTACTATTTGCAGATGGTTATATATGGTGAAATGGCCTAGGGCGCAGCATGTGCAATGCGCTGCGCATGAAATAGCACGTACAAATGGAAAACTGAGTAAATTACTAATTTAATAAAACACTTGGGGGACCATGAATTATGAGTTGCTAGCTGATCATCTCGTAACTAACACAAGAAAACATGCATGCGTGTATATGCATTATTATTACACATTGGCATTGCTGAGTCTGTTTTTGTTGTGTTGCTCAAGAAACAACGATCAATGAAGCTCAACTCACAAGCATAGAATCGAAATTACAAAACAACAACAATATATAATGTGATCCACCAAGACCTAGCTATATATGGAGGGAAATGGATTGTCAAAAACATGAGTCAGCATTTGCATTTGCCTTTACCAAAGTCGCGTTTGCATCAGTTAAAATCTGTCATGTGAGGAAAATAAAACATCTAACAATTGGCATTCTAGGTGCATGAAAATTGTTCTAGTCAATAAGACATTTCTGAGTAAAGGTAGAAATGAACTCATTAATGTTTATGGAAAAAACAAATTAGGGATAGTTTGGGGTTGTTGTGCTGTGCAAAAAAAAATGTTGTTTTCAAAAACAACGGTAGAGCTGTTTCTGCTTTCTACTGTTTTGGACTCATGATTTTGACAAAAATCAAGTTTTTTTTTTATTTACCAAACACAATTTTAACTCTAGCTTCTTTAAAAAGCTACTTTTTAAAATAATTTCATCAATACCAAACCAACCTTTAATTTAAGTTGGGAAGTGGGTTTGCTCAGATAGTGGCACTTGAGTTGAAATTTACATATTGGAGGAGCTAGCAATGGTTGAAACTTGAACGTGGTGACATGCTGGTTGTAATGAAGCTGTTCCAATGAGGATGTTGCTGAAAAATAAAAAAATAAAAACACACAAATAAAGAAACAATAAATCAATGGCGGAAGAAAGGGAATGCTTAAAAGAGTGTACGGGAGATCCAACGAGGAGTGATCAAAGAGTGAAAAGACAAAGCATCGAAAAGTGAGTGATCAGTCAGCTAATGTTCCAATAATTAATAGTATAGTATTTAGATCAGTAGAGAGGAGCAAGATGGTTTTGTTGCAGAAACCAAGAAGAAGCAGAAGAAAGAGAGAGGCCTTCACTCCTCCGCTCTGCAACTGCAACTGCATAATTCTGCTACCACTTTCTGATGATATATACTATATAGAGAATGGGGAAGAAAGGCAGAAAAACGCAGTGCGCGTGCGGTTGCTTTGCGCATGATCCTATAACTAATTACCCTAATAAAATAACAACTCCTCTATTTTTAATATACTGAAAACAATAATATTTATAAAAATCTTGTATTTTTTGTCTTGTTTGTTTGAGCAGCACTCCATGGAAGAGTTACTGGATGCTGCTCTGACCTTTTACAAGCACAATGACAAGCATGTGGATGTGGGGTTTGTAAATTTGCAATTGCCACCGTGAATTCTATTAGTATTTTATGAGAGTTCACACCATTTTACTGCTCCATTAACCCACCTAGACCAGAAAGCTCATCTATTTTAACGACAATCTTTACTTTACTTACTTTCTCTTTTGAAGAAGGAAAAACTCGATCGATACATGAATAATTATATTTTTATATCACGTTTGTATATTATATTTCTAATAAAAATAGGACGCATTAATACATATAAGTCCCAGTTAAAAATGCCTGGTGGAAAATTTATTAAATATATCAGGCATACATACATATATTGTCTTACGTGATGAATCACAGGAATTAGTTTGTCGTACAATACGGGCACGGGACATTGGACAGATATTAATGGGCCTAATGCCCCACTCTGATACAAGAGCCACGGCCCTTTTCTTTGCCAAAGAATGGAGAATGACACTTATGCCCCTGTCTTGCAGGCCACGGGGAGCAGCGAGCTCATTTTCATAGGCTCATAGCTACATATAGACGAAAATCATACTCTTCAGATTTCACAAGACAAACAACATTCTATTTTTCTCGTTATGTATTGTTCCTTATTTTACCAGATACTCGATAGAAATGTCTGATTATAATAGCTCTTACATCGAATGAAACCGGTAGCCGGTCAATTTATCTTTCTTTGAAATGCTTAATTACCATTTCTGTCCAATAAGAAATACATGCAATGCTGTTTATTTTTTCGTCTGTAATAATTACCAATAAAAAACCAAACGTAGGAAAAATGTGAGAAAAAGGAAAATTGTTTAAGGTAGGAACGAAGAACAACTTGAACTTTGACAAACTTGAAGTAAAATTGAACGCTAAAGATGTATGCAATTTATGAAAGGATGCGCTGAAGACATAGAAACCCTTGCTCCTGATAAACACATACAAATTTGCAATCAGTCGTCCTTTCTCATGGTAAAAAAAACGTGTTTCATGAGTTGCTGAGGATGCCCTAGGCTGTTGTCTATTAACATTTGCTTCTAAAAGGCAAAGAAGATTACGGAATGATTCAGTTTTTGAATCTTCAATGGTTTCCTTTATTCAGTCCTTAAACCCCTTTTATATTTAAGCGATCACAAGAAATGTCTGATAAATGGATAAATCAAGGCATATTAAGATAGAGAAGAATGATTTTTCATTTTCAAAGGATTAAACGAGAATAAAACCTAACATTCTATTCCAACCATTTTGGGGAAGACTTGATTGGGTAATTTTTCTTCGAGTAAATCCAACCAACTTCTAGCCAACCTCTTACTGATGTAGGATTTTGTCCCCACACTCTTACAACTACACTTTAATGGTATACTTCTTCATTGTAAGTAAGAGTTTTTATGTTCGATTTCTATAAATGATAATTTCGGTACCAAAGTATTTGTTGACTCGGTATTTGGCATAAACTTGTTTGAAGAAATTAAAAAAATATTTGTGAATGCCATCAGCAGCAGCAGTATTTAAAGACCGGGCTAAAGTGATTAAAGCCTGCGCTACAAGAATTGAGTGGTAAATCTTTATTGGGTCCGAGTTTGACCGTGTCATAATCTAATAGAATGCCGCTAAGTTGTGCAGCCCATCTGCATAATTGAAACTCGAAAGGGGTAGTCATCATATTCACCATGTCTTAACTACAACGGTAAAACCGATAAAATATTTATTCTTCCACATATGAATATTTAAAAATAATATATATGCATGCATGGATTACGATGACCACGATGAAGAACGACAATATATGGAAAAATGCATTATGATAAAAGACGGTATGTTTATAAAACATGTTTCAAAAAATACATGTTTGCTGATTGTGTAGCTAGCTAGAGATCGATCAATGTGGAAGTCAGATTTGTGGATTGCGAGACTTTCTTTAAATAAAAAAGTGAAGGTCTTGGGTTCGAAACCCGTTGTTGGTGTGGAAGTCAGACTTGTGGTCAGGGGAGGTTGAAATGCCTCTGTGAGTCTTCCCGGCCCCGAAAGAGGTGCATAACCGTGGTTTGTCACCAGTTATCCTCCTTTAAAAAAAAAAAAAAAAAAAAAGAACGGATCAATCAATGTGCATGTATGCCAAAAGGGAGGTTGTAGGATTGGGAAGGTCCTTCAAGAAGAGAGATTTTTTAATATGCTAGGAACATTGTATGATACATCAAGTGTCATAATACAATTAGTTAGAAACTTAAATAAAATTCAACCAATTGCATTATGACATTTAATGTATGCCAAATTGTTTTTCTGGCTTACTAAAAAAATTTCCCTCGAGAATTTCTACAAGCCAGGAAGCTCAATAAGTGAGGAAATATATTTTCATTTAATTGACTTTGAAAAAAACAGCAGTGCATTGAAGAGATAGCTGGATTGAACTGCCAACTTTTGCTTCGATTGGGTAGTTTCTACAACGATAAAAATAAGTAATATTTTTGTGTTGCTTGTCAAATGCTATGTTTTGACCATAGTACAAAAATTAATTTAGTAAAGAACAATACAAACTTGATGAATTTGACTTTATTGATTGAGGTCAATAGAATGATATAGCATTGCAGTTTATAGGGAAAAAATCGAATAAAAAAATTAGTCAAATATTCAAATTCAATTACTTGAATACAATGAATAGTTTATAGGGAAAAAATCGTATAAGATTTACTTTTAGGCCAACTAATAATCATTTCCTCACCGTCCAACTGATTAAGTGCACTTAATTATCTGCAATTTGGTTGTGTTTAATTGAATGAGTTGGAGATACTTCTTCTTATCAAAACACCACGTGCATATATAAAGTTCAAGCAGTAATTAAACACCATCAACATATATCTTACCCAAAGAAAAAAATATACGTCTGTAATTTTGCATATATATTGGTAAATCTCAAGTCCTACTTAATTTGCCTTAAATTGCCTTCCATTCACTGAACTAAATAATGGGGAACCTCCCGAAATTCACGCCTCTCTGTTGAGGAAATAAGGTGGGAGCTCAACACAAGTGTCAAGAGCTGCGCAGGCTGTATAACCGAACTCCTAAGCAGCTTATAAAACAGTGCTAATAACTTCTTTTTTTGTTGTAATTTCTTTAATAAAACGATATTTTAAAGTAATTTATTTTATAAAAAAAATATCTAAAATAGGGCACTATAACTAACTAGCCTGACCCACATGAATGCGATGCTTATAACATTCAAGTATGTTATACTTACTACCTGGTTAGAGGTTGCAACCCTAATTTACATATGCACAATTTCTCATATGTTTGGTAGATGTGACAATTGATTCAAAATGGTACCTCTAAATTATTTTATTATAAGGAAAACTAATGAAAATGACTTGAAAACTTTGAGTTTTAACGATAAGGACAAAATAAGGGGTAAAGTGAATAGTACCAGAATTGACTTTTTAATGTAAAAATGTGATTTTTCGTTAAAGTGAACAGTACCATGAACTTTTCGTTAAAATTCTCTTTATTATATGGAAGACATCTTTTTGGGACGGAGGTTTAGGTGCAGTGTGAAACAGTGTCCGGCCAAGGAGCTAGGCATGCAGAAGGGCCACACTATAAAAGAAATAATTTTCCTAATAATAATAATAATAAAGAAAAGAGTTTTGCTTGACCGAGCGGCAACTGCGCCGGCGTTCCGTGTGGCAGCCGACAAATGCTCTCAAGAGGACAACCAAACCTCAAACACATATGGCGAAAGGCAATGGACGAATGGGATAGTAGTTTCCCAATATTTATCCCAATTAATTCCTTGATTGTGTATATATCTATGGTAAATGTCAACGGTCAGAAATGTTGGCTTCCTTCCTTTCTTTCATATTCTGTCCTTCTATATATCACACCTCTCTCTCCCTAGTCTAACCAAATGCCATCCTCTCTCTCTCTCTCTCTCTCAATTTGCTAGTTCGACATCTTAATTAGTTTCTTAATTAACTGATCCTTTCCTTTTGGAGTTAGCTAATTACTATTAAGATCAGTTAGTTAGGTTAACTAGGTAACAGATCATTGAGCATGAACCCTGCAAAGTTCCAGCGGGATGATAATCGTCCAGCACAACATTCATCAGTTAGGAGGGACCAGATGATGATCAACGGAAACCGCCCCTCCCCGTTGAAGATCAACCGAGGCTCCCATATCATCCACAAACCTCCCAATTCCTATTCCCGCATGGGCGCCGCCAATAAATCAGAAGAGCAACACCACCACCAGAAGCGGCAGCCGGTGATCATCTACACCCAATCTCCAAAAATCATCCACACGCAGGCACGCGATTTCATGGCTTTGGTACAAAAGCTTACCGGCCTCTCCCGCTCCGATAATATTCACGACGGCGTCCACGGCCAAACCCTAGACACTGACACTACTCATGAAGATCATGCAAAAGTGAAAGTTTCGTCGTGTCAAGACGACCATATCGACAATCCAGACATTGCTAAATCTGCCGTTAGCCGCAGCCATGATGGGAACGAGTCGTGTTCAGATCTGACGGATGAGATTAATTGCGGTGGTGGGAATTACGATAACAATAGTATGATTAATAGTGTTCATCATCAAGTGGGGAGCTCATCGTCTTCCGGATATTCTCCCAATGCCATGTTCAGCAACCCTAGTCCGTATTTTGCAGATATTCCATTGTTTACGCCGACCGCAAATAATTCGGCGGATTTCTTCTGCCCGCCTAGGCCGCTTTACAGATTCTCCGATTACTCATCGTCTCCGAACGTTGGCGGTTCGATGTCTCCATCAATGTTCAAGTTCATCAAAGGACTCCCAGAATATTGACTACATGATGAACAACTAATAAGCACAGCTAGAGGATTATCCAATCGAGCTAGTTGATTATTTGCTACCGCTGTTAATTTATTGGTTAATTGATTCTTTATCCGTTTCTTTAATTCATTTTATTATGTAGACACAAAAAATATATTGCTTGTCCATAGCTTAATTCATAGAATAATTCAATCAAGGTTCTTGCTTTGTTAGTCTTTGTTTATGAATTTGTGGATTTCGAGCCTGTGCATTTAACCTGAAGTGGATTTAGGTCGTGAGTTACCGCTGGCAGCTGGTAACCAACCAAATAATATTGGCCTTCTGAAATTTCATTAGGTTTTGGGTACGTAGCACTAGCAAACTTTATGACACATATCCATTGACATATTATATAATTCTGCACAACTACTGCACTAGAAATAGGAAGCCCTCTGTGCAACTTCCTGTACAGCCTCAAGTATTGACTTGAACGCTAACCACATCGACATGAGTATTCTGGAAAAGGATGAATATTGGTTTAACGACGGGGAGCTAACCTAGTAGCTAATTGAATATTCTCTTAGTTAAGATCCACATGGTTTACATTGAAATCTGGACTAACAAAATGATTTACAATGTGTATTGTTTACAATATTTGTTCACATCTACGCCATGAGAAGAAATGAAACTTTTAGATAATCAAAATTTGGCCTTAAATTAAAGCTAGCTAAGCCAGCATTGGACTTGTATGTACAAACTAGTTTGTACTAGAAACAATAAAGGAGAACATTAGCACCCCAAAAAATCCTAACATTTTTTACCATCAAAATTAAATGGCATAGCAAAAAATAATTTACCTTCAACTTTATAAAACAATACCAACTTAAAATCCATGAACCATTAGAAAACTCATTTTCTTGTTTTGCTTTATTAAGTTGTCAAATATTGAAGCTATTTGATCTAAACTAATATAATTTTGTGATTGGACCTCACATGTCTTCAAAATGAGAACCTTAGCATAACAAGATTGATACAAGAAATGAATGACTGAGATTGAAATTAGACGATATTAATAGTAGTAAAAATCAAATCTAATTGCTAAAACACTCGTAGCATTGAATGATATGTAATATTGAAATCACACGAGCGCAAAATTCATTTGTCAACAATTAAACCAACGGCCACTTAGTACTACAGTCTAGTGGTATTTTTCTTCACTTGTAAGTGAGAGGTTTTAGGTTCGATTTTCGACAAAGACGAATTTGAACACATTATTGTAGATAATTTCATTTGTTAAAAAAAAAAAAAAAAAAAAAAACAAATAAACCAACGCACAAAACAGCCGCCGACATTGAGTTCATATCATCAAAGGCCCACCACCAAATATCTATATTGGTCCAAAAACATACATGAAGTCCAAAATGTTTTGAGAAAGAACTTTCTCTGGTCCGTGGGTTTGCATTGGGCTAACCCCAAGTCCAACCAGCAATCACAATCAGGCATTGATTCGCAGTCGCAAGAGGCCCGACAACGCTGACTGGGAACATATTCTGGTACGAGGATCGGATTCTAAAACCAACGTTGCGTTTTCGTTTTGGTGAGAAGAAAGTATGGAAAACAGTCAGGTAACTGGTTATGTTCTACAAGTTACTTTGTTTACTGTTTATCGATCTTTCTTTTAGCACAAGACAAGCATGCGAAATCTAGAGCTATATGTCATCAGAAAATTAAACTTCCAAGTTCCAAGTTATATGCGCGCACACACACGCATGTATGTGTGTATATATGGGTGATTGAATTATGTTTCTTCCTTCCGAGTCGAATAGCTTATTTCTCAACCACAATATCTTAAAAATATATGCATCTTTTTCTAATTATATTCTGATGCGCCAGAAAACCAGACAATATGATGTTGATTAGAGAGAGCACAACATGTGATGTTTAATTGTTGTATTATTCCAACTTCATTAGGCGCAACTACCAAGTTATTTATTTGTCCATACAAACCTTTGAACTATTATTATTATTATTATTGGCATTGCCACCTACCTACTTTTACGAGGCACAACTTAACTTTCAAACAATGGCATCTCCAAATACATCTTAGAAATGCTAATGTACGATTTAAAAAGTGAGACTTTTTATAAATTTTGTATCATCTCAAACTTTGATATCAATTTTCGGGCCAATATTATAAAACATTGTGCAAAAAATATAGGTATTAGAGGTTCGTGGAAAGTCTCACCTTGAGAAATTTCTCTTTTATTACAAACATACACTATGTATTTGGTTGGTGAGTTTCTTTCCAGCCACATTCAACATCTAACTTGTATATATTTAGTTTCGGAAAAGGATTCTCACCGAATTCTTTTATTGGGGATTCCGTGATCGTGATCGTTCATCGTATATCGTGCAGTCAGTTTTCGTTAGGTACTATTTATATTTAATTTTAAAATTTAAATGATTTCTGACCGCACGATGTACAATGAACGATCACGATCACGGGATTCTCGTAATCCCTAAAAAAAGGATCTGACGAGGATCATTTTCCTTCAGTTTCAATGAGAGCTAGCTTATATTGTTCTCATCACTTCTGACAAAGAAAAAAAAGGGGTTCGCTCTTATCTCTATATGAAGCACTAATGGATTCCATTTTATTTTTTGGTGTTGTACTTGAAATAACATTCAGTTAACAAAAGAGGAATGTTGAAATAATACCAATAAAAGTGAACTGCCATAACGAAGACAATACCTGATTTCTATTTTAAATAAAAAACTAATATCAACGGGTTTTAAATTTATCGTTTATATTTGTTTAACAATTAACAACCAAAACAACTGGCAAAGAAGATTAACGACTTCGCTGTCGCAGCCTTCGCAGCCTTCGCGGAGAGGAAGCTACTAAGAAGCTCGTAATTTCCCATTTTTGTGTTGATTAAAAGCTAAGAAAACCAAATTGAAAAGTCAAAAAATGGTAAATCCAGGTAAATAATATTAAAGCTATATTTACAAAATAATGACCTTGCATTATTTGATTTCCGTTGTCCTTTAACTGTAATTTACAACAGATACGACCTAACAGCGCTACAGCACCGCGTGACGGCCGAGTCACATCCACTCACGGCTGACTCGTCAAAACGCTCGTCCGTCACAACAACCGCGTCAGTGTCCCACCACGTATCATCCAAGTCTGCCCCCGTTACATTACCTAACGGCGACGCCACTTTCCTCACGTCACCAATCGTCACTTTACCGGTTACGCCATCCTTGACGTAAACCTTCTCGTCGACTGCCTGACGCCACTCCAACGATTCTCCCGAGCTGCGGGCCCCAATCAGCGAGTATCGCCGGAATCCGACTTCCGACGCGCGTGTCCCAAACACCTAGAGACACGCGCCCCGACACGCCCGAGTCAGCAGACAGAAACGTAGACGGAGACGACGAGTCCCAGAGCTTGACGACGCTCTTGCCGGCCGTGAAGTCAGACCATGAGAATCGATGGCCTCCGAAGCTTCTGCGGAGGCGGAGTCCCAAGTTACGATTCTGCTCTCCGTCGTCGCCGTAATACCCAGAGCCTCTGACGTGGAAATGTTCATCTCTCCCAATCGAACTACTTTCGTCGTCGTACGATATTTCGGATTCCGATTCGTCATCGGATACGGAGGAAGCCGACGAAACAGAGCAGATATCGTCGTCATCGCTGACGTCGGAGTAATCGCCGTCGTGGAGCTGCTGGGAAAGCGGCTGCGGGGCCAATAACCGGAGGCGGCGGAGACTGATGGCAAAAATGTTGATTTTAGTGATGAGGGTGCCGAAGGAAGCAAGAATTGCGAGGATTAGAGCTCCCCATTTCCAGAAACTGTAAGCTTGAGAGACGTTTTGGATTCCGGGAATCGATAAACTCTGGGAAAGAAAAGAAGGGTCCGGCAGGGAGGTCAGGCGGGAAGGAAGATCGGTAATTCTATTGAGCACTGGAATTTCCATGGCGGAGAGCGGTGGTGAGAGGAAGATAAAAAAGAAGAAGATGAGGAGGTTTGAGGAGGGAGGGGCTTTGGGGTTTATAAGGACGCCAAGGGATAATTGGAAATTTTGAATAAGAAATTACCAGAAATTTAAAAAGGTTTTAGGTGTGAAGACTGATGTGGAAGATAACGACTCGCTCTGTAAGTTTCAGGGATATTCGTTCCACGTCAGAAAAGCGTAGCGGCCTTTTGCAATTGCAAAACAACGTGGTTGGAAATTATTGAATTTGGTCATATGTTATTTTGAATTTTACGTGCTTTGATACTAAACGACATAATTGATTATATTGCAGACGGAGGTGTAACAATATTAGCAAGAGCAAATGTGCTTCACACCTTCACCTCTGTACACGAATTCAATTTTCCTCCAGTATTTTTTTCCATAGGTTGAACAAACAAAACATTAATTGCAGACATTATAAAACTTTCATGTGTTGGAGGAGAAAAAATATGTGTTTATAATTTTGTTTTTCTTACTAAGCGATTTATGCATGTGATAGAATTGAATATAAGACGTCATGATGTAAGGTCAAAATTGTCTCAACCATAAACTCCCATAGAGTTTAGACTATTTTAAAATACATTCAATTACATTAATAGAAGTAAGAGAATATAAATATATAAATAAATTCACATATTATAGTCACAAAGCGAATTTAAGTTCAAATGTCCACATCTATAATTTGATTAAATTAAATTTATTATCATTTGTGAAGGAATTAAAAAGAATTGAAAAAGAAGTTGAAATCATCGTGTTAAAAAAACAAATAGTCTCACAACAAACCTATCGTATCAAATCAGATTGAATCTCAAGGACGTTCTATCACAGTTGAGAAAAAGAATATTGTCCTTGTACCATAACATAAATGCGAACTCTATCTACTCTCTAGTCTAACAAATTTATCAAAAAAAAACGAAATGAACCATTCGTGGTTGTGAGTGAGGCTGACTCATTGGCAGCGAGCTGGAGGATGTGATGCCGGCCCCGTCCAAAACCTGTAGCTGTCAGAGCTTAGACGTTCCACCACTTGAATCTTGACACGTGATCAAACTTAATTCCTTGGTCCTGCAATTCTAATTTATTTTCATTTTTTCCTATGATGTCATTGTATTTGTGGCTGCATTAAGCACTATGTCTACGATAAAAATAGGTAATATATTTGTCAGTGATTATCATTGTGAAATCAGTGTTTAAGCGCTAATCGTTTAGTAATTTAATAGAGTGTTAATACGTAATTTGAGTTTAATTTACAAAATCTTTTCAATTTTCAAACACTTTATTTATTTTTTAATAAAAACAATTTTACTATTTTTATTTAAGGGTAAAGTTTGAGCTTGGAATGTAATAGATTGAAGAGGAAGATTCTAAACACTAGGCGATTCTAACTGCAAACATTTTATTTTACATCTTTATTTAAAGATCATCTTTACCATTTTTTTTCAATTTAAAATTATTTAGAATGTGGTACGATATCCTAATAGATAAAATGTTAATATTGGTGTTGTACCCATACATCTCCAGTTCAAAATTCTCACTCCTCTTAATAATAATAACAAAAAATAAATTAGTTATTTGTTTATTATCATAAGCATTTCATTGTATTTTCAGTGACACGGTATAGGTCAAATTTTTGTTTTTTGTCATTAGATATTCACTTATTAGCACTTGAACGCTTATAATCAGGATGATTGTTATTAGCACAGCTGGTTTATTTTTTAAGGGTTTCGCCGGTGGGTGCCCTTTTTCGCACGACCTAGTGAGTCACCTACCAAGATGGAGAAATGTCCATGACAATTGTGGTCCAGTTTTATAAGATTTTTAATCCACTGCACCTCCTTTATGGTTTTGGTACAATTTCAATCCCAGCTGTGTTTCGCATGGTGGCGCATTGCGCACTTCTCTGCTCTCACACAGCGACAGCTACCGTCCAATTGAAAACAATTATTATTATTTTCTGTTTTTTATGTGGCAGCAGTTGCTTGTATAGTGCAAAAGTCCATATATCTTGTATTAATCTCTATCTTAATATAAAGATTGTGAACGGTTATTCGCATTTCAAAATTTTCATTTTACACTCATCATAAGTGTATTTTTCTTTTATAATATATAAAGTTTGGATTGTACGATGAGATTTTTGGAATATAATAACAATGTCCTAAAGATTAAGGGCTTTGATTTGAGGTCCAGTTAATTAATCAGTGCAGGAGAGGTGGTTGAGTCTGGTTTCTTCACATTAGAAACAAGTGGATTATGTTGGTTACTGACAAAATCATAGAAGCACGTTACAGGCAATAGACGCCTAATTATTTCCTAATTGTGGATTACTGGCCAAAAACACTTCCTAATTAACAAACTATTTGGAAGAATGCGTGGCTTTTACTAATAAGATCGTATGTATTTACATGCTCCTTTCTTTTTCGATTTCAATCGTTTACCAAGCAAACCGTAGGTATTAGGTAATTATATATGCCCAAACACACATAAAATACTCACGGTCAATATGATACTTCTATGAAATTAATTAAGCTTAATTATTGGTTAATTGCAGCTTACACGTAGAGTTGTTAGTGTGAAGAGATTTTCAGTGTGATTGAAATACAAAACGGTATATCACATATAATAATATCAGATGAGGGACACAGAAAAATATATATTCTTTTTCACTTAAACAATGACGTGTTAGTATTTCGAGTTGTGTCATGATCGTACATCAAAACTCTCTCGTGTAAACACAAACCAAATTCCAAAGATCACTAATGGTGATGGGAACTCGACTAGTAATAACAACAACAAAAAAGAATAAAGAGAGATTAACTAGAAGTCGACTTAAATAATGAAGCATTAGTGTCCCAACTTGTGTCATGAGTATTTGAAAAATCTCGTGTAAACACAAACCAAATTTCAAAAGATAACTAGTGCAGTGGTGATGAGAACTTGACTACTCATAACAACAGCAAAATAATAAAATAGAGATCAATTAGAAGTCGACTTAAATAATGACGCTTTAGTTTGTATCCTAAGTAAATGAAAATCGATAACACTATCAAATTTCAAAGATCACTAATGGTAATGAGAACTCGACTAGTACCTAACAATAGAGACAAACTAGAAGTCAACTTAAATAATGAAGCGTTAATGTCCTGATTGATGTTCTGAGTATATGAAAAATCGGCTCGAGTAAACACAAACCAAATTTCAAGGGGTCACTATGGTAATGGGAACTGGACTAGTAATAGCAACAAAAAAATTAATAAAAGAGAGACGAACTGAAGTCACGTCAAGCGGGAGAGATCCATAGACCCAATCATCCAAAAAGTCTGAAACCAATTTACGTGATACGCATGCAATATTTTTGGGTAAATTAAATATAATTACTTGCTGAAGTTTCTAAGTTTTATTTTCAAAGTTTGTCCAACTTAAGAGACGCAGAAGTAATATATAACGTGTATTGCATTGGCCTAAATAATTATCTTCTGACAAACTTTACGCGAACAGGAAGAGAGTATTTAATGATTAACCCCAAAAATTTTGACTTTTTTTTTTTTTTTTTTGTTGAAAAAACGATATTATTTAACTAAAGGTTGAGAAAGTGGGTTAAACCGCACAATAGGTTAGGAATAATGTGGTTCAAATTCGCCTTTAAAGATAATCGAACCTATGACCGCATATTTTCAAGTGAAGAAGAATACCACTAGACAATAGTACTAAGCGACCTAAAATATTCTTCATTTGTTATCAAATTTTTTATTAAAAAATCTATAAGTAGATCTAAAACAAAATAAATTTTAAATTAAAATAGGCTCAATAGCCACACGCGCAATCCAACGAGCAAATAACGAAATCAAATGAAATCTCATCTCAAACTCAATAAGTGTTATATATTTATGTTACGTACAAAGCATGCAGAGAGAAATGCATATATTATAAGAATCTTAATGAAACACTTTTGGTACTGTTCATTTTTAACATTAAGAACATTTTTACCTTGAAAAGTTATTATTTGTATTGTTCACTTACACATTTATTTTGTCATTTTTATTAAAACTAAACCTTTTAAAAACTTTTGATTAGTTTTCCTTATATTCTATCATTCTATATTTTGTATTATTTTTTTCTTTACATGACTGACCAAAAAATTATGAAGAAAATGGTGCGAAACGTGTTACACGAAATTTCTACCAAGGCACGAGGCATAGCTAATCTTTGCCTTTCAAACAATTGAATTGAATTAATTTAATTTCAGCACGTGTTCAATTCAATCATTGGTGCTGGCCCCAGTCTCCACAAGAAAGGGGATGAAATTTGAGATATTAAACTTTTGGAGCATGACCTATTTTTTTTGTTTTACATTGATCGTGGGCTCAAGGCCCACAGTCTATTCAAATTTTTAGGAACATGCCGAAATTGAGATGGCCCATCTTAGTTTCTGGGCCTATAGCAATATTCAAAAGAATGACGTAAAACATATTTTTCACATGAAAAAAAGCTTACCAAGAAAAATGAAAATTATGGGTGGAGGCAGGAAAATATAAGATTAATTGTAAAATATGCGATCTTTGTTTTTCTAAGAATTATTGTAGCCTTTTTCTAGGGTTATGTTTTCTCATGAGACTTACTACTTTAGGTACATGAATGTTATATGAATGATCTTTCACGGTCACGTCTCTAAAAATTATTATAGTATTAGAATAATTTCGATGCAGCGATGCAAAGATAAAATATTCTTAGCTAGTTGAGCTATAAGTCAATTGCTGTTGAACAACAAACAGCTTGATTTGGGCAGCTTGAACGCCTGAGGAGCAATTACCCTAGCCTTTATGAAAAACTTGTCTCCTCTCTGGTTGCATACGAGGGGTCATGTAATTAACAATTTGAAGAATGCATACAGTACGTACGTACATAGGAGGAAAACTTAGGAGATCAAAATGTAAATATTGAGACATATTCTGAGAGCTCCACTGAATTTGAGGAACAAATCTAAAAATGCTAATGCATGCATCACCCGTGCAGAACTGCATCAACGTTGATGCCAAGTCAAAGTGAGAGACGCGTGAATTCAACACTTAGGATTCGTTTAATTTTTTTTTTTAAAATGACAGAAAATGCTTTTTAGAGAAAATATTGTATGTTTCAAAAATACTTAAAGTACTTCCTGCAATAAGCACCATTTATATGCTTCTTGTAAGAAGTACTTTAAGTGCTTTTCAGAATTCACTTGCATTTTTACTAAAAATTGGTTTCAAAAATATTTTCACAAAAAACGTTTTCAGTTATTTTAAAACATTTTCAAATGAGCTTTTAATATAAAGAGTGAGAGAGCACATGGCGAGAAAAATGTAAGTTATAATTAGGTAAAGTAAACAGCCTAATTGGCAAGGGATAAGGATCATCGCTGGATTATTTTCCTGAGGATTTTGTGATCGTATATCATGCAATCAATTTTCGTTAGGTACTATTTATATTTAATTTTAAATTTTAAATAATTTTTTACTGCACGATATACGATGAACGGTTACGATCATGAGATTCTCAAAATCACCAGGAAAATGATCCGGCAGTTGGAAAGAACCAGGAATTATGGGATGAGTAATGCTATTCATACCATATTTTTGTACCACATTTTCATATCACCTTCGATGACATTTGATGTGGACAGCCATATCATTTGAATTAATCAGATTTTTAAATTTAGTTCATTATTTAATAAACTAATAATTAAGAAAAACTAGTTAATTAAATGATGATTGTGGTATACGATGAGTTTTTCTTATTCATTTCCTTGGGTTTTGTAAATTTTTCAAATGATGTAGTTATCCACATAAGATACCACCTAAAATGGTATAGAAATGTGATACAAAAATATAGTATGAATAGCATTAGGTCTACGAGATACTTTTATTCATTCTGTTGGCTTGACTTTCTAGGGCACGTACCCTTACGTTCCCACTACCACCATTTCACGTTTCAAATGATCTCTCTTTTTAAAAGTTGCCTTCCTTTTCAAGCACGCAATCAAGAAATTAAAATTATTAGATATTTAAACACAAAAACCAGGATTTCTTGCTTAAATAACCAAGATATATATACATACACCATCAAAATCTCCCATAATTACTGCAGGCGATTAGTGAGTGCACACACAGATGACAGAGCCACCATTGTCGTGCTTGTAAAATATCATCCACATGATTCAATTTGGTGAAATCCGATATCCATCCCTGCCAAAAACAAAAGTTAGTTTATATGTAAAATGACATCCGCATAATTCAAATTTAAATTCCTTTCCAATTTGTGTTCTCATTACTAACTACAAAACCAGAGAAAATCCGTCATATATTAGCTGCATTTTTCAGCAGTTTTGTTTCTTCGGACGAAGGGGAAGCGATGGAGTGTGGCAGGATCCTGATTGTTATTGCCTTGTGCTCGCTGCTCCTTTTTCCTGTGATTCATGGCTGGAGCAATGATGGGCATGTCACAGTCTGCAGAATTGCTCAGGTTCTTATCCAACGTCATATTTTTCTCATACCTCGGCTTAACCAAGTTGGCTAGAGTAATAAAGATATACCATATTTTGCGTCTCGGTTAAATTTTTAGTCAAAATTCGGGCGTTTTTTTTTGGGTGATGTGATGACAGTCTAGGCTGAGCAAGGCGGCGGCGGATGCGGTGAAGCAACTGCTTCCAGACTATGCAGAGAATGACTGGAGCAGCCTGTGCATATGGGCGGATCGTGTCAAGTTTATTTTTCCCTGGTCATCTGCCCTTCACTACATTAACACTCCTGAAGTTTGCAGTTACCAGTACAGTAGTATGTTCCCTTAAACGTGATTAGTGCATATATATATGTATTAATTATAATTAATCATGGAATTACTAACGATTAATCTCCAGGGGACTGCAAAGATGAGGATGGAGAGAAGGGGCGTTGTGTTGCAGGGGCAATTAACAATTACACCACTCAGCTTCTGACCTACAATAGCCAGTCGTCTCAACCTAAATGTAAATACTATACCTTTTGAAAATTACTATTACGTAGAATTCTCATTGCATGACGCGCAATTGATTGATAATGTATCAATGTCGTTAAAAATGTATCTGTATTTTTTTGATATATATGTCTTACTGGGGACTATGATATCAATACATTATCGATGATATATTAGAGTCCCTTTTCGTCGCGGACTATACGATTATGTGACCGAGTTCTGTTTTTAACTATGTTTTATTCTGTGATAATTAGATAACCTCACGCAGGCGTTTCTATTTCTTTCCCATTTCATAGGAGACATCCATCAGGTATGGCGCAATCTGTATAACCAAACACGCATGATGTTATGTTACCCTAACTCACGATCATGATCTTACGCGTGTTACACAGCCTCTGCATGTTGGTTTTGCTTCGGACAAGGGAGGCAACACAATTGACGTTCACTGGTATACGAGGAAGCAAAATCTTCACCATGTAAGTCTCATCTTCCAGTTCAATTGTTCGACACACTACTACTTAATTTAACTAAATTTTCAAAATTCACATACAGATTTGGGATGACAACATAATTGAGACCGCGGAAGAGAGGTTTTACGATTCCAATGTCGAAGAACTAGTTGACGCAATTAAACAGAACATTACGGTATCTTAGACTAACTGTGGTAGAATATTTTCTGAAATGTCTGAATCCTAACCTTTGTTCTTTGATGCTTATTATATGTCTTTGAAAACAGACTGAATGGTCAGATCAAGTTAAGGGTTGGGAGACCTGCGGCCTAAACAAGAAAGCATGCCCCAACGTGTATGTATCCTTCGCTTTTGTTATAAATTGGCCAAACTTTATGTTTTCGAGCCTTCTGGTTGTGTTAAGTCTGTTCTGCTTGCTGATAAGATCAGCAAGGCTCGGCCTAGACGATTCACTAACCTAATTACTGGGGGTACTTATTTGCAGATATGCGTCTGAAGGTATCAAAGCGGCTTGTGCTTGGGCATACAAGGGTGCAGATGAAGGTTCAGTGCTAGAAGGTAAGCATGAATGTTTTGAATTCAATGGTAGTATGCTGTTTGGTCGATAAATTGAGGAGAAAAAAATGAATGGAATAAGTTAAACATTGTTAATTTGCAGATGAATACTTCCTCTCCCGGCTACCAATAGTCCATAAGCGGTTAGCTCAAGGTGGTGTCCGTTTAGCAGCTACCCTCAACCGAATCTTCGGGTGACAGAACACTTGTTCTGCTTAAAGTTAATAAGATTTCCAGAAGCATATATGCCTCCAAGTTTAAAGATATTGTACTTGTAGTTATATTTAGGTATTGTTCTAGAATTATCTTTGTTTCACAAATATAAACCTTCATATATCGTACTGCTTTCTTTTTAACTACAGAAAGTTTTTTCACATCGCAAGGTTCATATTAACTGTCATAAGTTAACACCAAGTTTTCTTACATCGTCTCAATCGATACCAGTAGCATCCAAATGAAAACACAGTCAAGCAACTTCACCTTCAGCTTGTGATTTCTTCACGACGAGGACAGGGCACTTGGCGTTCTGAACACAGTAGTTGCTGACACTACCAAGAATTGCCCTAGCTCGGCACATCAAAATCGTCAGACCCGTAAACGAGATGCAGGCAAATAGACACAAAAATAGAAAATTAGATGAAATGATACTAACCTTTTGATTTTTCCGAGCCCACGCTCGCCTAGAATTAGCAGATTGATGTTGTGTTTTTGGACAGCGTCACATATGGCTGCTTTCGGATCTCCTACTTCTGTGACTGTCTCTGCATTTACCTATGAGAAGAAAAAAATGGTAAACTTAAATCAAATGTTTCACAGTGGTATAGTATAGTATAGTATCCCAAAGAACATCAGAGCGCCATTTTTGGTAGAGCTAAAACTGCTTACTGATAACCAAAATTACCTTTGACAAGGTTTGGTAAACATAAAAGTGTTTTTGGGTCATACAAGCACTTTTTGAAAAGTGCACTTCTAAGTAATGCTCTAGTAAGTATTGAAATTTTTAGTAAAAATCTGAACTGCTTCTGCAAAACGCGCTGCTAGTAAAAACACATATAAGTAGTGAATCTACCAAAAGCAGTCTCAAAAGAAGTACTTATACGAATAGTATATACTATATACAAACAAATACAAGTGTATATATACGCACACATAAAGTTTTGTGATTGAAGAACGAAGAACTTTGGCCCTACCCCATGATTAGCACAGATCTCTTTAGCTTTCTCCAACAGCCCCAACGCAAACTTTCTGTGATTTTCCTGGGATGAGTTAACAAACTCCTGACCTTTATTCCATAACACGAACAGGTAACAACAAACAATTTGTCAGAAGATTTCACAGAAATCTCCTCTCCACATGTGTACGGCATTATGCACCTTGAAAATAAAGGAGCAAAAGAAAAACACGATGAAGAGACTGAACAACTTAACTGGAAGACATAGGATAGTACATGCGAGCACTGCCGAGCGACGCCGAGAAGATGACGTTGCCGGCGGAGGGCGTCTGAGCCGTGAAGATGATCAAGGGCGACTTGGTTATGGAATCTTTGAGGTTGTCGAGAGCCCACATGAGCGCGTAATGACTGCACTCGCTCTCGTCAATGGCCACCATCACCCTCTTCTCAGCTCCTCTTGCAATCGCTTCTCCCATTCTTTCTTCTCCTCTCGCAATTGCTTCTTCTCCCATTTTTTTCCCTTCTGGTTTTTGTTGACAAAACGAGAGGGGGTTGTATCTCTATTTATCAGATATTTCGGGATATTTGTAAAAACATGGTAGTTGAAGAAACAGATGGAGGGTTTTCTCAGGTCAAAACTGCCAGTCAAACACCTAGTCCAACCCCACATGGGTAGATTTTGATAAGGATAATACTTGGTGCGGATTGCATTTGTACCCCATGTTTGGCAAAAATTTCTTTAGCTTTCTCCAACGAAGCTAATGTCACCTTGTGGTGGTTTTCTAGCAAAATGTTATCAACTCGGCAGCTGCACAAAGCGCATACAAAAATAAGGAAACGACAGCTGATCAAGCATACAGTTACAAACTTACACTCCGATAACTGCAACAGTTGATTTGTCAAATAGCGAACTAGGTAGGGTGATTTGGATTTAGAGACCCTACGGCCAGCTCTGAAACTGGCAGCCTAAGCCGAAGAGAAGTCAATGGGCTGTGCAGTGAACGACTAGCTGCGAACTGACGATGGTGTGGCGTACAATTTTGAGCGCCCAATTGAAGGCGTATTGGCTAAACTTGCTCACATGGATCGCCACCATCACCTTCTTCTCCATATTCTCCCTGGTCCTCCATCCTCTCTCTATCTATCGGTGTCTATCACTCTCTTTCTTTACAGACAAGACAAATCACGTTTGTCTGTGCATGCCTTTGTGGTCCATTTAAATCCGGGATAGAAGATAATGGGAGGACTTGGTCTCTCCTGTATTCCTACTCCTACCAAGTCCTTAGAGTCGAAACTACAAAGCACAAACGTGGTGTCTCGATCCAGTCTGGCTCGGACTCATTTCCAATCTTGTCCAGTCCCAGTCACTGAACGGGCTCAGAGCCTGTACTCACAGTTCATAGTCATAATGGTCCAATGCCTGTATGGTGTTTGTTACAATTTATGTCGAGCCCGTCAAGATCTCATTCAAACTGTGACAAGAAAAATAAATTTCTGCACGCACTTTTTTCTTCTTCTACAAACTCTTGTTTAAATTGTCTCTCGATGTTCCATTGATTTATTCAATCCAAAAGCTGTAAATAAACAGGGTCTGTGACAATCATTATTGTTGTGACAAACGGTGTAAAGTAACCAACCATGAGTTCAACAACATAATTTAGAGCTTCTCATTTTCTTCGATCATCCTACAGATTGAAGACCAAACTTGTCCAATTAATACTATAACATGCAAGTAATGTAGTTACATCTTTAACACTAAGAACATACTTTCTTGAAGTGTAATTGTGTCTGAAATCTTCTTTTGCTTCATTTCCCGGAAACAAGATGCGTATCCAACATGAGCCTTTGTAATGGCGTCTATCCAACAAACTTCATGTTGCAGGAAAATCAGTTCGACTCCTCGTGGCGAAGAAATTGAACAAGTTTAGATTTCACCTCTGGTGGAATGCGGATAGGACGATAGTTTTTGTCAAGCCATACTGCTGTGGCCTTTGCTTCCAAGATAGGCTGTTCAGAAAATATTATCAGAAGATCACAATGTGTTGAGAGTTGAGACAAATCCTTGATTTGATGTAAAAAATCTTAGGACTGGCAAATAACAAACCTCTTGATTTGGCAGCTTGAAAATGAAGTGATCAAAGTATAGGCGAGCAGCTGAGGAGCCAGCGAGCCTGACCTTTATGACAAACTTATCTCCACTCTAGTTGCACAGACCTTGTTAGTGACAAGGCCAAATTCTCAATCACAACTACAAACATGTACATTGCAGTAGGAAAAATATCTTAAGAGATTCAAACGTAAATATCGAGACATACTCTGAGAGGTGCAAGGAATTTGAGTGACAAATCCGACAATGCTAATGCGCCACCGGTGCGGGCAACTCCATCAGCACTGATGCCGACCCTTTCCAGAAGTTCATGACGACCTGATCAAAATATTGAAGCACAACAGCTCAGCTTGTTTAATAGAGTTGCAACGATTGAAAAAAGGCGTGATCTTTTAATTCAGATTCATTTACAAGTTTCAATTATGTATAAACCACAGAATCATTCCCCATGAAACACATTTCTGCCGTAAAGACAACCTTTAAGAGCACAAATTCGACTGGAAGAATCCCCCGGTGACATATGGAAGAGGGAAAAATTGGAAATCAACAGCTCATGTAAAAAAGGTGTAATCAGCTAGATCCAATCATAAATTGTGGTTAAAAATCAAAGGCCTTTCAAATTACAGAAACGTTTAACTCACCATGTTGGCAATAACCTGCATAAACAGCATTGTTAACGACACCATATTGATCAAGTTCATAATCCCGGACCTTGAGCTCAACATCAAGAAACTCACTCATTCTGCAAAGTCCAAAAAGGCCAAGGCTTTAATTAAAAAATAAATCCTTTCAGCAACAAATTAAGGCTCGTTTGATATCCATTTCCTGTTCTTGAAAAAAAAACCAAAAATTAATAACGAAAGTAAGAGGATCATAGCTCAAGTCGGTTAAGAGCATTCCGAGTTCAAATCCCCTCCCCAATATCGTTTGTATCGGGAAATAAAATAATATCGAAATGGTTATCCAACGCAACATCAAAAATCTAAAATTCAACGAACAAAGTGAGAGATTTAGGTACATTATACTATTCTCATCTGACAATCAACAAAACCGTGATGTTTCGTGTAAGAATTGCAATGGTATGACGATTCGAATTCATAACATAGAGAATGCCGCCAAATTAAACAAAGAAATTGAACGTTTTAAGAAAGTACCCTTTGCCACCTTTGAAATCGAATGCGAGAGCGGCGCAGCTCCTGACGTTGGGGAGTGATCGGAGACGTGGCCGCCTCGTCGGGAAGGAAGCTGACTGACGGCGGAGGCGGAGCGACGTCCGGATGACACGTGAGTAGGAGGGGGAGGCCAAGTGGGTGGGTTCGGCAACTGAAAACGCCCGCAGGCCCTGCAACTGCAACATCTCTGCAGCTCCGCACGGTCAAAAGTGCTGGGCAGGCCTCGGAGCAGAGAAAGAGACAGAGACGGTGGTTGCGTTGGGGAGTTTTTGTTTGAATTATCGGCGTTCAAACCCAAGCAGTAAACACACAACACATGGTAAAGGATTTTCTTTTGGGCTGGAAATGAGAATATATTAAGGCCCATTGGGCTATATACTTCTTGTGGAGAATTTGGGTCAAATAGTTGAGAATCTTGAGGTTGGATCTAAATCTTACCTGAGCCTGTCCGTTGCCGACGAACCACCACTTTGATCTATCTCAACCTTTTTGATCAGTCTGGATTATACAATGTAGAGTAGATGGTCACAAAACCAAAAATCATATGCAAGTCCCAATTCAAGGTTTTTGGTCGTCACTATACTTAATACCATTATTTTCGTTGATTTATACAAAGAGATACGAAAAAAAGGAACATCTCAAGCCCATAATTTTATAGTTATCCACTAGCTCATTGCAGTCATTAACATAATTTGAGTGTTACTATTTGCACCACATTTATTGACTATACAATGACCACTCTTTGATACAAGTGAGTCTCGATCAGCAATATTATCGGTCAATATGTGTTACAATTGACATAATTTTGAAGAGAATAATGCTGATCAGTAATGGGTGATATTGATGATACAAGTACAGTACAATATCATCTGTAAATTAATATTACTGCAGTTTAGTTATTATACAATAGTACAAGATTCGTTTTGCACCCTACACAAATATACATATATGCAACTAGATATATATATATATATATATATATATAAAAGCATGAAAACAGCAGTATTTTATTGTAATATGGGATCCATGGAAGCTGGAGAAGATGGTATTGATCGTCCTGTGTTTCATTGTCTCTACATGTACATGTAGGGTTTAGCAGCATGAGATCTGAAGAAGATTGAACTTATACTCTCAGTTCTCAAATAGGCCATGCTGCGTTGTTGAGGTGAGGAAGTCCTCCATACCCTTCTGAATCTCTGATCTTAATGCCATCTCTTGTACACTAGTACAAAAAACACTTTGCGCGACGTAGGGGATGCGTCGCGCAAAGTCAAAAAATCGTCGCGTAAAACTTAGCTCAACGCACCTTCGTCGCGCACTAACCGTCGCGGCAAGGCAGTGACAGAAGGGGTTTGCGCGACGAAGATTCCCCCTACGTCGCGCAAAGAGGCTTCGCGCGACGTATTACTACGTTGCGCAAAGTCTCTTTGCGCGACGCATCCCCTACGTCGCGCAAACACTTCGTGCGACGAAGATTCTACCTACGTCGCGCCAACCTCTTCGCGCGACGCACGACCTTACGTCGCGCGAAGTGGATTTGCGCGACGTAAGTCGTGCGTCGCGCGAAGTGGCTTTGCGCGACGCACGACCCTACGTCGCGCGAAGTGGCTTTGCGCGACATAAGGTCGTGCGTCGCGCGAAGAGGTTGGAGCGACGTAAGGTCCTACGTCGCGCTAAGCCACTTTGCGCGACGTAGGGTCGTGCGTCGCGCAAAGCCACTTTGCGCGACGTAGAGTCTTGTGTCGCGCAAAGAGGTTGGCGCGACGAAGATTCTACCTACGTCGCGCAAACCTCTTTTTTTTTTTTTTTTTTTTGGTCAAAAAAAATATTTTTTTAATTTTTAATAAATATCTTAATTAAACTCTAAACGATAATTAATTAACCAACGAAAAGTATTTAGTTATAAATATATGAAAATATACATACAAAATGTCCAAACAAAAAAATAAGAAAAAACTACAAGTAGTCTTTTAGGTTTGCATGATACATCAAGCTACTAGGTATCGGTAGGGCAAAGTGGCTCAGAAGTCGAAGGTGTAGGAAGATCAGGTACTGGTAGTGAGATTTGGAGGCCGGACATCTGTATGGCTCGTACAAGGTCTCTCATGTGTCCGGCATAGGCCTTCACCTGCTCGCCCTGGGCCCTCATCTGCTTGTCCCGGGCCCTCATTTGCTCACTCTGGACCGCAAGTTGACCCTTTAGGGTTGTCACTTCCTCCTTCAATGCACTGACCTCTCCTGTGTTTGATCTGGAAGAAGAGGCACCCGTCTCACGAACTCGCGCTTTTCCCATACCCCGAACAACTTTGCTAGGACGACGACCGAAGTTTTGATCCATGACATTAGTCAGGATCTGAAAACCTGCATCCTCGGGTATCGTGGCGTCCTCGATCAAGGTCTCCGGGGAAAGTTGTGATGTTGCTTCTTGGAGAACAGTAGTGCGCTGTTCCACCATAGCATCCTGTAATAATAAAGGAAAAAACATATAATGTTTAATAACATAATATAAATAATATTTGAACGATTCATACATATAAGAATAATAACAATTACATATACTTACATGAAGCTGCTTAGCTATCTCATCACCAGGTCGAACGTAAACGTCCTCGAACATGTCGATCTCTGGGAACTTAGAACCCTCCTGAAGAAACAAACATTAAGAAAATTTTATTAATAAATAATAATAAATAAATTGTATAAAATTTCAAAATTAATATACTTTTACCTGACGTCGTGCCTCAACCCTATACGAAAAGGGCTTCGAACCAGAATGGTGGAGAAGTGTCTTTGAGTCCCGAGCTATCTTGCCAGCAATAGATTTCTTCTGTTAAACACACAATATACATGTTAGTGCGATTATTTAAAATAAATTAATAAAGGAAGCTTAAAAAATAACTAAAACAATAATAAATTATTATTAAAATATTATGTACATACCACAAATTTTGGGTCCGTAAAATGTTTGCAGAGCCACTCCCAATCCTCCGGCCGGTCCTGCAGCTCGGTTGGGCAACCATGTAGGCGAGCAAACTCCGGATCATCCCATCGCTTAAAATGCGTGTGAAGATAGTTCTTCCAATGTTTGTACCGATTTGCTAAGGTATCCTCTAAGTAGGCCATGACCTCAAGGGATATGTCGTCAAGATCAAAATTGACCTACGAATATGAAAAATAATAAAATAATAGTAAGAAATTTAATAATATTAAGATAATATATTTTGGTTTTTAATATTTGTAAACAAAATTAAAAAAATGATAAAGGCTAAAAATTAATATACTAACCGACAAGTTTTCTCGCACTAGTTTCTTCGTCTCCTCGGGAATTTCTGCCCAAGACTCCCACTGCATGGGACAATTTTGTTTAATAACAACACCACAACTACTAGCGATGCTGTTATGCTGCTGTGAGGTAGCCGCTCCACGATGTCGCGGGTCATACTCAATCTTGATCTTGGAGCCGCGACAGGTTCATGTGATTCTTGGGCCTAATTGCAAAAACCCACATTATTGTACGTACTAAAGAACTGCTTAATTGGGGTAAAATCAGTACGATAGTGCACGGATTAGTCTATCAGCATCTATAAAGGGGGGTGTGTGTGTTACATATCAGTACATTAGAGCTGGAAAAAAAGAAAAGCCGGAATAGACATAGAGTATAAGTTTTAACTATAAGTTTTATATCTAAGAACTCTCAACCTAGCTTACCTCCAATATGTGAAACTGATCACTCAGAATACGCGTTAAAAACAATGTTCAATCAAGAACTCTCAACCTAGCTTACCTCCAATATGTAGAGTTGGTGCTGGGCTAGAAAAGAAAAATCATGCTCTTTTGGCTGCAGAGCAATCAGATGAACAAAGTAGAAAAAGGGAAAGTTTTTGCATACCAGATGAAAGCAACAATGAAGGCCGGAGCGAGCGTGGAAGGAGAGAGAGAGAGAGAGAGAGAGAGAGAGAGAGAGAGAGAGCAATTCTCAAGTTTTGGTGAGGTCGAAGCAGATACACTGTGACTGTGAGTCAACCAGATCCGCAAGTTTTGTAAGAACAATGATTATAATTAAAGGGTGGAGCTAATCATTATTTCAAACATTATTTTAAACATGATCACCAGGCTAGAGCTAATCAGTCGATGGATCCATTCCCAGAAGGTCCCAAAAAAACTAATTTTATATATGGTAATCAATTAAAGGTTCACATCACTCTCTCATTTTATATATGGTAATCAATTAAAGGTTCACATCACTCTCTCATTTTATATATGGTAATCAATTAAAGCATAGATTTGTAACTCATTACCATTTTAAATAGGACTATTAATTGGTATCATTGTCAAAACAAATTAACGTGTTGTTGGACATGCATCATGCATGTATCAGAAAGACATGCATGCATATGCATGTAGTTGATTAATTGTAGTTGTACCCTGCTTGTTTGTTCATGCTCATCTAAAAACAAAAATAAAAACTTTAAATTTAAAAAAGGACAACTCTTACCTAATAGTCCATGTTTAATTAAATATATGCTTCAAATTTATCGTTGCATTGAGTTTTTTTTATTTTTCACTTAACTATATTATTTTCTTTCTTGTTTTCTTTTTCCTTTTCTTTTCTTTCTTGTTTTCTGTTTTATTTTATTTTATTTTCTTGTTTCTCTTTCCTATTTTGTTTGCTTAGGGTATTTTCTTTATTTTTGATATTTGTTTTACAAAGTGTGAAAGCTTAAGTGAACCGACATTGCACGACCACTACAGTTACTGAAAAAAAAGAAAAAAAAAAGATCAAGAAGAAAAAGAAAAATAGTTATATTTAAAGTTTGTATGTATTTAAAGTTTGATTCACTTTACACCGAAGGAAGTTTGATTCACATTTTGTAAAATTCTTTTCTAATTGATTCTAAATGGAGTGCTTTCTCGGTCTTCCTTTGTTGAATGCATGGGTTGATCTTGGTGATTCCACAGGCTTACTCTTGAACTGGGCTGGAGGATTCTTTTTGGTCTCCTCCACTCGTTGATTTTCCACAGGCTTACTCTTGAACTGGGCTGGAGGATTCTTTTTGGTCTCCTCCACTCGTTGATTTTCCTTTGTGCTACTCTTGAACTGGGCTGGAGGATTCTTTTTGGTCTCCTCCACTCGTTGATTTTCCTTTGTGCTACTCTTGAACTGAGCAGCAGGATTCTTTTGGTCTCCCCCGAAGGTCTGAGCTTCCTCTTTTTTTTTCTGTTTCTTTGTTCAATCTCTCCAATTCGTATTGAAGAGGGTTAGAGGATAACTCAGCATATGCAGTTGTAGCTTGTCTCCACATGCTTCAATGTATCATTTTCACTTGCCTTACTTGCTCCCCTTTGCAGAAGTGGTCCCTTCTCTGGAAGTGTATCAACCGTTGAAGATGACTACTCGAGAGCAACGCTAGGTAAGCAATCAGGGAAGGGATTCCAGGCAGTTGGTTCCAGATCGGAAGACTGACTCCAAGTGTCGGCTGATTGCTTCTTTCACTTTGCCATGCGAGTAAGAACAAGGACAAAGAAAAGGACAGGGAAAGAGCATGATATGAGATACCTTTGCTTTCGCCCTTGATGATATGAGATACCTTTGCTTTCGAAAAAGCGGTGAATGAATCAGCACATCTATTTGTTGTGCTGCTTCCTCCTGGGTCATCTGTACTCCAGGCATATGGTATCATCTTTGGGGAAGAAGAAAGAATTGAATGTTTCGAAAGGATTTGCTGGGAGTGCGCCCTCAGAGGTGAGAAAGAGTTGGGCATTTTCTTCAGGTTTGCCTTGCCATAAAATATGAAAGTTGACATATATAGGGAATAGTGACGACAAACGTTTTGATCCCGCAAATCCGGCTTTTTGGAATAGTGACGACTCTTCGATCTTTGAAGACGCCTCTTCGATATTTGAAGACGCCTCTTCGATAAAGCTGCACGCGTTTTCTGAAAAGCAGATAAAGCAGATAAAGACGTGTAGTTGCGATGATGGCCTCCACGTGTTGAACGCGTTTTCTGAAAAGCCGGTGGACGCGTTGCCTTGGCTTTTTATAGAGCTATCGATCACCGCCAACTTACACACCTTATCTCCGGCCCTTTGAAAATCTACTCCGTCCACCCCTTATCTTTTAACTTCTTGAAAAATGGCTAGCTCATCTAACCCATTGAACATTTGCTTAGATTTGAGTCTGAGCAATGATCCGATTGCGCCTCATCAGGGTAAGGTATGGTGCCCGTCTTTCTTATCTTTTCATGGCCCTCTTACAGATGAGGACTCTGTGATGACGGATCCAATAACGGCTACGATAGTGGCTCGGAACCTCCTCACTCCCAAAGATAGTCAGCTGCTTTCTGGACGGTCCGATGAGTTGGCCGTTCAAGAGTCCTTGGCTCTTAGCGTTCAGTGCGCTGGCTCTGTGTCCAACATGGGCCAACGCCTTCTTGCTCGCTCCCGTCAGGTTGAATCCTTGATGGCGGAGGTGGAGAGTCTTAAGCAGGAGATCAAACAGCTGAAGTACGAGAACCGAAGTTTGCACGTGCTTGCCAACAATTATTCTACAGGCATGAAGAGGAAGCTTGATGAGCTTGATGACCGTCAAAGGCTTGCAGCTTTCTTCCAGAGGCACCTCTTTCCTGGGTCATCCAGCGTTCCACCAAGGTTTGGGGCCTTGAATGATCTATCTTCGGTGCCTCCCGCTCATATGCCTCCCGCTCCGATGGCTCCTGCTCCGATGCCTCCTGCTCCGATGCCTCCTGCTCCGATGCCTCCTGCTCCGAGAGTGTTGCCACGTAGTAGGGCCTCACGTACACAACCCTTGTGAAGGCTCCATCTTTCTGCCATTTTTTATTTTTTTTATTTTTTTTATTTTTTATTTTTATTTTTTTTTGTAATCACTCGGAAATCAATGAACAAGCTTTATTCACTGTATTGGGTTGCCTCCCAAGTAACCATTTGTGAACAAACATAAGTAAATACATAGAACTCTGAATAATTTAGCCTATGTGGACATATACACCTGATCCAAATGAAGTGAATCCAAAATGAACAGGTCAATTCAAAGTTGCATATACAAAATCAAATTGCTTACCGGATACAAATAGATTAAGGAACAGAGAGAATTGGAGAACGTTTAGAACAAAGATGGGGGAGGGAGGTAGCTGCTGCAACTAGTTTGCAGTTTCTACCACCCAAACTAAAAAAAAAGTCGTTGACTTTGCGTGACGTATGTGGCGTCGCGCAAAATCTTATGTTATAGTTAATAAAAGTATTAATAAACTCAAAGTGTTAGTAAATCTACCATTTTAAAGGGAAACACATTGTACGGAACTAGTTTCAACGATCCATCCGTCAAACTTGTTTGTATATGCTTCGAGATCGCATACGCCAAAAATAGGAAAAAAAAACATTTAGAGATCAAGTAACGCGACAAAACTTTTCGACGGTTATAAATGAAAAATAACGATTTAACGGTAGTTTTAACTCTGATTTTGATGATTTTTTACAGCTACACTCCTTGACCCTATATGAATACAATGAACTAATTCGATCATCAATTTAAAGTATTTACACAAGTGGATACCACAAAATCTTATGTTATAGTTAATGAAAGTATTAATAAACTCTAAGTGTTAGTAAATCTACCATTTTAAAGGGAAACACATTGTACGAAACTAGTTTCAACGATCCATCCGTCAAACTTGTTTGTATATGCTTCGAGATCGCATACGCCAAAAATAGGAAAAAAAAAACATTTAGAGATCAAGTAACGCGACAAAACTTTTCGACGGTTATAAATGAAAAATAACGATTTAACGGTAGTTTTAACTCTGATTTTGATGATTTTTTACAGCTACACTCCTTGACCCTATATGAATACAATGAACTAATTTGATCATCAATTTAAAGTATTTACACAAGTGGATACCACAAAATCTTATGTTATAGTTAATAAAAGTATTAATAAACTCTAAGTGTTAGTAAATCTACCATTTTAAAGGGAAACACATTGTACGGAACTAGTTTCAACGATCCATCCGTCAAACTTGTTTGTATATGCTTCGAGATCGCATACGCCAAAAATAGGAAAAAAAAAACATTTAGAGATCAAGTAACGCGACAAAACTTTTCGACGGTTATAAATGAAAAATAACGATTTAACGGTAGTTTTAACTCCGATTTTGATGATTTTTTACAGCTACACTCCTTGACCCTATATGAATACAATGAACTAATTCGATCATCAATTTAAAGTATTTACACAAGTGGATACCACAAAATCTTATGTTATAGTTAATGAAAGTATTAATAAACTCTAAGTGTTAGTAAATCTACCATTTTAAAGGGAAACACATTGTACGAAACTAGTTTCAACGATCCATCCGTCAAACTTGTTTGTATATGCTTCGAGATCGCATACGCCAAAAATAGGAAAAAAAAAACATTTAGAGATCAAGTAACGCGACAAAACTTTTCGACGGTTATAAATGAAAAATAACGATTTAACGGTAGTTTTAACTCCGATTTTGATGATTTTTTACAGCTACACTCCTTGACCCTATATGAATACAATGAACTAATTCGATCATCAATTTAAAGTATTTACACAAGTGGATACCACAAAATCTTATGTTATAGTTAATGAAAGTATTAATAAACTCTAAGTGTTAGTAAATCTACCATTTTGATGGGAAACACATTGTACGAAACTAGTTTCAACGATCCATCCGTCAAACTTGTTTGTATATGCTTCGAGATCGCATACGCTAAAAATAGGAAAAAAAAACATTTAGAGATCAAGTAACGCGACAAAACTTTTCGACGGTTATAAATGAAAAATAACGATTTAACGGTAGTTTTAACTCTGATTTTGATGATTTTTTACAGCTACACTCCTTGACCCTATATGAATACAATGAACTAATTCGATCATCAATTTAAAGTATTTACACAAGTGGATACCACAAAATCTTATGTTATAGTTAATAAAAGTATTAATAAACTCTAAGTGTTAGTAAATCTACCATTTTAAAGGGAAACACATTGTACGGAACTAGTTTCAACGATCCATCCGTCAAACTTGTTTGTATATGCTTCGAGATCGCATACGCCAAAAATAGGAAAAAAAAAACATTTAGAGATCAAGTAACGCGACAAAACTTTTCGACGGTTATAAATGAAAAATAACGATTTAACGGTAGTTTTAACTCCGATTTTGATGATTTTTTACAGCTACACTCCTTGACCCTATATGAATATAATGAACTAATTCGATCGTTAATTTAAAGTATTTATACTCGGGGAAAGTATTTTTACCGCTTTTTCTGTTGACTTTGCGTGACGCAGGGCTGCGTGAGTCGCGCAAAACAGCTTTGCGCGACGCACGTGCACATACGTCGCGCAAAGCTGTTTTGCGCGACGCCACATACGTCACGCAAAGATGTTTTGCGCGACGTAAGTGCACGTGCGTCGCGCAAAGCTGTTTTGCGCGACTCACGCAGCCCTGCGTCACGCAAAGTCAACAGAAAAAGCGGTAAAACTTACTTTCTTTAGCGCCAAAATCTTGCGGGACGTACAAAACGTCGCGCAAATGGCGTTTGCGCGACTGCACTTTGCGCGACGAAGATTGGCGTCGCGCAATACTGTTTTGCGCGACGTAAGGGCATTTACGTCGCGCAATACTGTTTTGCGCGACGCCAATCTTCGTCGTGCAAAGTGCAGTCGCGCAAACACCATTTGCGCGACGTTTTGTGTTTAACGTCACGCAAACATACTTTGCGCGACGCATTTAGCTGCGTCGCGCAAGTTTTCGTCGCGCAAACATGCATAAACAGCATTGTTAACGACACCATATTGATCAAGTTCATAATCCCGGACCTTGAGCTCAACATCAAGAAACTCACTCATTCTGCAAAGTCCAAAAAGGCCAAGGCTTTAATTAAAAAATAAATCCTTTCAGCAACAAATTAAGGCTCGTTTGATATCCATTTCCTGTTCTTGAAAAAAAAACCAAAAATTAATAACGAAAGTAAGAGGATCATAGCTCAAGTCGGTTAAGAGCATTCCGAGTTCAAATCCCCTCCCCAATATCGTTTGTATCGGGAAATAAAATAATATCGAAATGGTTATCCAACGCAACATCAAAAATCTAAAATTCAACGAACAAAGTGAGAGATTTAGGTACATTATACTATTCTCATCTGACAATCAACAAAACCGTGATGTTTCGTGTAAGAATTGCAATGGTATGACGATTCGAATTCATAACATAGAGAATGCCGCCAAATTAAACAAAGAAATTGAACGTTTTAAGAAAGTACCCTTTGCCACCTTTGAAATCGAATGCGAGAGCGGCGCAGCTCCTGACGTTGGGGAGTGATCGGAGACGTGGCCGCCTCGTCGGGAAGGAAGCTGACTGACGGCGGAGGCGGAGCGACGTCCGGATGACACGTGAGTAGGAGGGGGAGGCCAAGTGGGTGGGTTCGGCAACTGAAAACGCCCGCAGGCCCTGCAACTGCAACATCTCTGCAGCTCCGCACGGTCAAAAGTGCTGGGCAGGCCTCGGAGCAGAGAAAGAGACAGAGACGGTGGTTGCGTTGGGGAGTTTTTGTTTGAATTATCGGCGTTCAAACCCAAGCAGTAAACACACAACACATGGTAAAGGATTTTCTTTTGGGCTGGAAATGAGAATATATTAAGGCCCATTGGGCTATATACTTCTTGTGGAGAATTTGGGTCAAATAGTTGAGAATCTTGAGGTTGGATCTAAATCTTACCTGAGCCTGTCCGTTGCCGACGAACCACCACTTTGATCTATCTCAACCTTTTTGATCAGTCTGGATTATACAATGTAGAGTAGATGGTCACAAAACCAAAAATCATATGCAAGTCCCAATTCAAGGTTTTTGGTCGTCACTATACTTAATACCATTATTTTCGTTGATTTATACAAAGAGATACGAAAAAAAGGAACATCTCAAGCCCATAATTTTATAGTTATCCACTAGCTCATTGCGGTCATTAACATAATTTGAGTGTTACTATTTGCACCACATTTATTGACTATACAATGACCACTCTTTGATACAAGTGAGTCTCGATCAGCAATATTATCGGTCAATATGTGTTACAATTGACATAATTTTGAAGAGAATAATGCTGATCAGTAATGGGTGATATTGATGATACAAGTACAGTACAATATCATCTGTAAATTAATATTACTGCAGTTTAGTTATTATACAATAGTACAAGATTCGTTTTGCACCCTACACAAATATATATATATGCAACTAGATATATATATATATATATATATATATATAAAAGCATGAAAACAGCAGTATTTTATTGTAATATGGGATCCATGGAAGCTGGAGAAGATGGTATTGATCGTCCTGTGTTTCATTGTCTCTACATGTACATGTAGGGTTTAGCAGCATGAGATCTGAAGAAGATTGAACTTATACTCTCAGTTCTCAAATAGGCCATGCTGCGTTGTTGAGGTGAGGAAGTCCTCCATACCCTTCTGAATCTCTGATCTTAATGCCATCTCTTGTACCTCGTGATATGCAGTATTTGTCCCCTGCAACATCCCACGTTGCTCGCTTAATCACTTTCATCTTTTAAAAGTTCATTAACAACCTTAAATATTTAATAGGAAAATGATTTCTGTACATTTCAATTTATTTTTTACCGTTGATTTTTTTTTTCTTGAATGAAAAGTCATAAATAAACATGGTGTGCATGAGGAGAAAAAGGAGTGGGAAAAACATCGTTGAGATGACTGAGACGGGAAGAAATAATGGATATACAAATTCATAATTTAATGTGTGTCTGTGTGTGTATTTCTGTAATCTTCTAAATTTATACCTGCTGCTGTTGCATTGCGTCCGCAGCATCCACACCTGGTGAATTGAAATCATAATACGCACTTGCTGCAGAAAGTTTCATTGACAGAAACTAGGAAGCCACCAAACAAAAAGCACTTTAATTATTAGTATTCTATTTGGATATATACGACGATTGATCCATAATTGTGACATTACAAGAAATCTCCATGATATGTTTTGAACTTTTGGTTAATTATTTATGATATGACTCACCTCAATTTGTTTCTGCAGTGACTGAACGTAGCTGATAACCACATCCAGCATTACTGCCATTCCCATTGTCTGCAAATTAATTCATCCATAAAAAACATTATCAATTATGTTTAAAAAATAATAACTCATGAACTCTATCGTAGTTTATTCAAAGCGGCAAGTAAATCAAATTATGTACCTTGTAGCACCCTGGAACCAGATTTTGCAGGCATCTCAGCCTATCATTTATTTTCTCTCTTCTTACCTAGTAATACCATGAATGTTAAACAAATGCGCAAGACCAACACCGATAATCTTTCCTCTATATGTATTAACTGTGTCGTTATCAGAGTATTATGGATTTAATTTGTTATCGCTATTTAATTAAGGCGCAAGAGAATTAAGATAAATTTGCTTCAAAATCTGCCCTTGAAAATTAACAAGAGAATTAGTACTTCTAAACCAGATACTGGTAACATGTCCAATTTAAAAGAACTGAAATATTTGTACCCTTTCTGCCAAACTGTGGCTATCAGTAGCTTGGCCTCTCTTAGCTCTCACATGAATCACTTCTTTTAGTTTCTCCCCATCTTTGTCACTATTGTTTATCTTTCTCTTCCTTCCTCCTAACGACTGCCAAGAATCCCCAATCGCGTGCGCATTTCAATATCGAGAGAAAACACATGATCAATATAAAGTCAGTCTAGCCAAAAATTAAGCATACACATGATCTATCACATCAAGGTAATTAACCAGACAACATATATAAACTAGCTCTTCAGCGAGCAACTATCTACTAATATATACAATATTAAGTACGTACCTTTCCTTTTCCTGTTTCTTGGCGAAAATCTCCAGTCATCAGATGAGCTGTGGAATGAGCAACTAAGAAATCATCAGAATTATGGGAAAAGCTTTGAATATGATGAGTGAAGTTGATAGGGAGCTGGTCAGGTTGGGGCTGATGATGATGATCGGTAGTAAAGGAGGTGTCATTAGCCGAGAGAGCCATGATTTCATGATGATTGGTGCCAAGACTAGTCTCCAAATCGCAAAGATCGTCTATGAGTTCCATCTTCCAAACTTCGAGTCGTTTGTCTACACAGAAACTTGCGGTTTTGCATGCTTTTAGAGACAGACTAATCGAGTTTATAGAAACTTAAGTCCAAAAGCATATTGGCTATAGTACAGATTTTCATTTCAGTTATAAGTTGACTTTGTCTTCCTACCTCTCTCTTCATACACTAATTGTTTTTAGCAAGAGAAATTCTAAACTTAATTTAATTTACAGAAAGGAGATTCGAACTTGAGTGTAAAGAAAGCTGGTTCATTGTCATAGTGTGTGGGGCATCGGAGGCGTGGGGCTATATAACCAGTTTAGTGTTGAATTATGTAAAATTGGTATTTGATTTGGTGTGATTATCTTAATTTGTTTGTTTTCAATTTTTGTCCTTGATGGGAACATACATCTTCTCTTTATGGATAATGATGACGTTACCACAAATCGCGTATATAGGTTTCCATTTCAACTCCATTCAATAAAAGGTTGTAAAACCAAATATAAACACTGGCCTTAATTGGAGTGCTCACAATCTAAAGAGTCCATAAAAATGTTGACTCCAAACTTTCCAAATCTGGAGAACTTCATTTCTCTACTCGATATTCCAAATCCACGTTGATAACCCATACCGATTCATTGACAACCCCCCATCCCCCTCAAAATCCCAACTTATAATAATATGCCATGCATATATACATGCATGCCTTGCATCTCAAGTTAATTGGCATTTTGCTCGTTTTGAATATCAAACTATCGGAAGATTAAGCATGGTTGTAGCTGCTACCTTACCTAGTAGTTGTTAGGTATGGCTTAAAGTATGGAGAGGGTTGTGTAATTGATTGTACTCTCCTACTTTTGTCGATCTACATATTCTTATCCCTTCTAATCTTTTTTCTTAAGATCAAATATATAAACTTTCATCAAAATTCACACAAACCCTAGCTAGAATAGCATACTAATTAGACTACAATTAAGTATCATTTAAAAGTCAATCTTCACCTAATAAGCCTTTGATTCTTGATTCAATTTGTATTTTGCATTGTAGCTAATCTTTGATTTTGAATTCGGATGCACATATTCTGTGCCAAACTTTATTTCTTTAATGGTGGAAACAGAAGAGGGTTTAGGGTTTAGAAATTGAATGATAACTTTACCATATAAGAATGAAATGAGACTGTCAACATCCTCGTTTGAAGGTACATCACAAATGGCCTATTACCGACCTTAACTTGTTTAGGCGAATTTCCATACCAATACAAATCTCATTTTATTGTATTGTTGCAAATGTGGATTAGGTTAATTGATCAGAATGATGTGTCCGTCTTCTTATATCTGAGTTCAAGTGAGTCAGAATTTTATTTTATTGAAAAGAACAAACCAGTTAAGTAATATTGCATATATACGTAAACTTCTAGTCTTTTCTCGTGCAATTACTAAACAAAACATTTGCTCTTAAGAAACGCGTCGTAACCCAAATTGTTAGGCAGGCAGTCGTTTGGTGTTCACATTTGGTCAAAATTAATGGAGATTTTATTTTATTTTATTTTTTATTTTTATTTTTATTTTTTTTTAAGTTCATAATTAATGTCCATATCCTCCTACATGATCATGGAGGAAAGTGATAGGCGAAGGTCACATGACTACGGAATGAGAAGTCATAAATTAAAAGTTATATGAAATTTATTTCACTGAAAATGACATAATGGTCTAACAAAAATTTCTGGACACCTTGTTGTAACTGTTGTGACTGAGAGACTTGTAAGTAGCAGAGTTGATTGCTGCAAGAAGGGTCGTCATGTTTGTAGAGGAGTTGCGAAATAGAATTTGAAGGATGCATCGACAAAGTAATGATTTTCGCTCATCCTTCCAAGCTTTTTCCCAATCCAAACTTAGTCATGCTAGATGAGAAGCAAATCAGGCAGCACATAGGCTTGTAAGAGCAGGACTTGGAGAACAACATTAAGTGGCTTGGTTTGAGATACTATCGGACATGGCAGCAGACATCTTGATTGAGGATGGTTCTAAAGTGATTGCATCTTTTTTATTTTTTATTCTGTAATGGCGGCCTCTTTTTTACTTGATTCTGAATTGAAAGTCTCGGCAAGGTATTTTTCAAGGGTTCCCTTCTTTTATTATTAATTTTCTTGTACATATTTTATTGACATCCTAATGTATATAGTACCTTTCCATATTAAAAAAAGAAAAAAAAAATGCTTGTAAGTGGTTTAGAATATTTATCACTACACTTGAGGATTTTTGTTCGGTTCCTTATTGTCGAAAATCGCTTGCATTATAATAAAAGGCTCGTTTAGATGTGCTTTTAAAATGATTGAAAACGATTTTAGATAAAATATTTTTGGGTTCCAAAAGCACTTTAAGTGCTTTCTACGATGTGTTTCTTTCAGGAAGCACTAATTATGTGTTTCTTTCAGGAAGCACTTGAAGTGTTTTTTCAAGATTTACTAGTATTTTTACTAAAGACGCTTTAAATCATTT